AAAGAAATCAAGCAACCAGCCAAAACATGTGGCACACTATCTTTCGGTGAAATGTTTCCATGCCAATGTTCATGTTGCCGTGGCAATGATTGCCTTCCCACATAAACGCCCGCTGACACCGTGTGCATAAGCGGGAGGCAATGCTTCCCTGCCACCATACTATCGCCCCATACTCGAACAGCTGTGTCGGGTGCCGCGGGGATGGTGATGCTCTCCACAGCTTCCTCTAGGCCCTCGAAGGCGTGCCCGGCTTGGTCTCCCCACGGAACTGTGTTTGGTGCTCGCTCTGCGGACGACTTGGTCTAACGAAGAACCAGCTTTGCGCCCCTGGCTTCCCTGACGCGCAATCTCCTTCCCAGCTCCGAGGTGGTCGCTCCACGGTGATTCGTGCGCGTGCACCAGCACTTCCCCGCGCCGCCCACCTGGTGGCACCTGCCGTGTCACACCGTCCCCACTAGGCCTGTCGTGGGGACACCGAAGTCCAACCTGAGCAATGTGAGCAACTGCAGCAGCCCCCCTCGCGACCTCGGCATTCGCTAGTCTCCCCCGCGCCGGGCCCGACCCTTGGTTCTCCGGGAGCTCCTCCCTTCTAGCTGCCCGGACGGAGGAGAACCCTCGTCGGCGTGCGTCTTGATCGGCCTCGAACCTTACGGTAGTGTCTGGTTCCTGCATGGCACGATCGACCTCGGACTTCACGTCAGTGTTCGGGCCCTGGACACTGCGATTGCCCTCTGACCCCACGGCAGTGTCCGGTTCGTGGACAACGCTACCGGCCTTGGACCCCATGGAAGTGTCCAGTTCCTGGACAGCGCGGTCGTCCTCAGACCCCATGGCAGACTCTGGCTTCTGTAGGGTACAATCGGCCTCGGGCTCCATGGCAGTCTCCGGGTCGCCCCGAGCGTCCCGTTCTGTTTCCCTCACGCAGTGAGCCTCGGGCTCCGCGCCCTCCACTGCAGTAATCTGCGATTCTTCATGGTGCTCCTCCAGAAGCCGAGCTCTTGCCCTCCGCTCCTCCGCTCGGAGCTCTGCGAGTCGTACCTGCAGCTCTGTGTCCTTCATTCTTTCCCTCACGAGGGCTATCTGAACGCTCAGCGGAATCGTTTCCCCATCCGACCCCTCGTCGCCTTCGTCACTGAGGCTCGCCCCATTGAGCCAGTTAAGCGCGGCGAAACACATGTACGACGAAACCGTCCGATCCGACGTCCGACCGCGCAATACGACGGTCGGAGGCGAGGGTTTTCAAAGCTCTCCGATGCTACGAAATCCCTCTCCCCCCAAAGTCATTCCGGCAGTCCGCACGTCGGATCGGAAGGTTTCGTCGTACACGTGTTTCGCGCTTTATACCTCGCCATGCAGCTAAGTGCGCGGGTGGCAGTTGGCGACGGAAGGGAAAACGACCACCTACCTGGCGGTGCTGTGCAGTCCACGAAGTTGCATCGGATGTCACCAAACCCGCAGGTCACTGGCGTCAACTGCAGCCGATGATGTCCGCCGACTTGAATCTTTTGTCGCCTCTGAAGACCCCAGCCCCACGGCAGTTGTCGATGACGCCGAATCCGCAGGTCACCAGCGCCGATCGCCCCACGCGCCGTCCGCCTCCTGGCTTTCACCGATTTCGGCCACAGGCGTACTCGTAGCCGTGCCTCGCTGTACCAGGCTGCTTGTGGACCGCTCCTCTTTGTCTCGGCTGGTCCTGGGCTCCTTCCGATGGACACTCCTGCTCTTCGCACCAACCCAGGCGTCTGGAAGCTTTCCAGGTGGTTGACAATGTCCAAAAACCTGTCGACAGCGCCAGTAAAGAAATGCCCCTCCCTGAGGGTCAGGTTGTTTTGTCCTGGTCCTTCCTAGAAGTCGTAGGTCAGGGCCGGAAGATTGTGGACTGCCGCGCTGGATGGTCGCTTCGGTGCTCGTCGGTGGTGGCGGAGCCTCAAGGAAAGATGTTCAAAGTCGGGAGCAACGGTTGATAAAAACAAATGTATTAAAACGTCAACAGCAAACTTGGTTACAGAACTCTACTGTCCGCTCACGGCAGTAGAAATACCAAAAAAACCGTGCCTCGGCGCAAAGTGCCCATCGCACACGGTGAGGCTCAAAGAAACTGCTCGTCGCTGGCGACAGAGCTACGCGGACTGCGGGAGATAACTTGCTCCGCGCGCGGGCTTGTTTAAACTCAACGTTTTCTCGCCATCGCGGTCGAGAAAACTCTTCGCTGACACAGGGCAGCCCTGTCCAATCAGGACGATTATACAATTCTAATGGCCCCAGTGCCAGCGGGTCCTCCACCAATCACAGAAAGGCCATGGAACTCGTTATTTCCCTTGTCTAAGAAGAGAAACAATGCTAAACCCCTTGGGGCACTCTCCAATCGGGGCGATACTTTACTACTTTACGGGGAAAACACCCCCACTTCGCCGCGTCAAAACAAATTGGCGCGGCTTCCTTCAAAGTTAGCGAGTTAAGCGTAATGGAGTCCAAGTGGACCCAGACCGGCGCCCCTCATCGCTAAAGCCTTGTAGCAGTCTCCCGACTGGACAAGCAGTCACTGGGAACGCGCTGTGACGACAAAGCCGGAGAGGGTGCCACTACCTCGCAGCGACGGGCAAGAATGTCTGTCTCCTTCCCGGGCCAAAGATTAAAAAGGGCTCAAGCCGCCCATCCCCCTATTATCGAGGCGAGCCGTCGGGGTGCCCCCATCCGAACGGTTGAAGGTCGATTACCTCAGTTTCCAGGAAACTATCAAATCCTCAAGCGATCTCTACAAATGTGTTTTATTTCATTTGGATACACAAATCTGTTGCTTTGGGCCTTTTTTGCAGACTCCGACCTCAAGGTTCCTGCATTCTTCCTGTGCACTGCATAAAAGTGTTCGCTACTTTCTAAAGGAGTCTTACAGCCCCAGATGTAATTGCAGTGTCATTGGTCGTGCATGCAACAGAACATTGCTTGGGAATGTTGAGTAAATGTTTGTTTCCAAACTTTTTTTTGTAAAAAAAAAAAAAAACTTTTTGCAAGTTTTTTTTTTTTTTTTTTTTTTTTTTTTCAGATATGAAAATTGTAGTTTTGGGTGGTGTGACATAAACTTTGAGCTTAAAGATTTCAGAATGGTTAAATATGAGGCAATCAATTTTCCGCCTTTTTTGTGAAATTTGTGTTCATTTATTGTTTTGTTCATTTATAAGTAAATTGTTTTTTTGCAGCTGTCTAGCTCTAATACTTCTGCTACTATATATTGCTTCTTGCTAGAAATTGCAGCCAAATGTAAAAAACTACTATTAAAGTGTCCATGAAAAAAAATGAAAGCCTTTTACAATTCCCTTTAACGCCGGATTAGAGTGCAGCTCTTGAGGAGGAGGATGGAAGCGTACTGAGGGATAGGTAACTCCTTGAGGTCACATGACCTCAGCGGGGGGGGGGGGGGGGGGGGGGGGGCCGTCGTCTGACGTCAGGGGGGTCACATGACTTTGGGGAGAGGAGGGTCACGTGATCACAAGGGGTCTCGTGACCTTGGGGCGTCATGTGACCTCGGGATTCACATGACCTCTGGGGAGGGGGGGGGGTCACGTGACCTCGCAGTTATGCCTACACCAACGCCGACGCTGCTCAAGCCGGAAACAGGCCCCTAAGAGCTGTGCTCTAAAAAGTGCAACATTAGTAAAAAAAGAATTCAGTATTTGTACCGGTAGAGCTGGTTGAAGTATAACCCCACCCCAACCCCAATTACGATTTCCTCAAATCAAGAGGATGAAGTAAACACCGAACTTGCCATGTTCGTTTTACTTGTGACATTTTTTTTCTGAGCTCTCCTGTGACTAATTCTTTTACTACAATATGCTTTTGGTGTCCGTATCAGTCTGCCATGTTTGGGGTGTTCAAAGACGGACAAATGTTTACTTGACACCAGCAACAGTGCCTTCAATATCTTCTTTTCTCAAACTTGCAGGTCGACTCTGGCAGCCATTGCAAGATGCAGGAAATGGCACATTGCTGCTTTGCAGACAGGGTCCTTCCCGCTGACCAATTCAACTTTGGGGAACATGCATTCTTTGTGCAGTGTTCTTGCTTATATTTAGGCCGTATACTTTCCAATGTTTATTCATGTAAAAAATCAGCAGATGTTTTTCGGCGTTTATTTCTTTCCAAAATACCGGTGCATTTCGGTGAATTGTCTCTTGCAGACGCTTAAAACGGCGTTTATCGACGGAGAAATTGCGCATAGAAACAAACAATTAAGAGAAGAAACGGTTCAACTTTTATTTACATCTGATACAAAATGTTCCTCATACTTCATTGTTGTGATATATGCTTCGTTCAGCTTAAGTCGAGACACACTTCGGCCCAAAAAATATAAAAGTCACTTGAAACCAGCCAACTTGGGTCCACAAAGAAGGAGAAAGAAGGAGGCCAAACCTTCAACGGGGCAATCTACAAAAGGGCACGATGAGGCCAAACTTTTGGGGACATAAACTAAAGACCAAAGAAACCAGCACTGATAGAAAAAGACACACCTCGATTACTAAGAGACCTATGGAGACCTATGCTGACAATCATCCCAAACCACCGTTAAAAAAAAAAAAAAAAGATTGTGTCTAACAAATGTCTTATACAACTTGCTCAGTAAAAAAAAAAGAAAACTGCTGCTTGTACAAAATGTTCAAGACCCAGTATCTTTTCGATTTTAACCGATTTATTTTCGACACTACGAATGTTTATTGGTGTTTTACGGTTAAAACCGGAAAGTGTACAGCCTACTTATACCATTCCAGCATCATAGAATCAAATGCAGTGTCCCCTATTGCATGAATTGAACCCAGTTTTTTAGATGAGCACAAGCATTCGACCTGCTTTATGACATTCACCACCAACCCATTTGTGCAAACAAAACCAGTCTGATGTGGTTGTCTTCCATCGCTTTTTCTCGCCTGGTGTTTGAGACCATTAAGATGTCAACAATTGTGTTTTTTTAACTACATTCTTCCACTGGAAGTTGTGCTTGCACGTTGACTGTACAGTGACATTTTTTAGAACAGTATTACAGCCGACAGACGTCCCAGACTACATGGTACCTTCACTGTAGCCCTAGAAATTAGGCTCGCTTAAAGTTACTTATAGGTTGTAGGATGGGAGATGGACTGATAAAGGGCACATGAAAATTATTTGCTTGAATGGGCTATGCTCACAAGTTTTTGATCAACTCGGAGTGGTGATATCACTTTAATGTCATAACCGCTTTTCTTAATACTTGAACTGTTCTTATTTGCCCTGTTTGTTTTCTTTGTTCTGAAACGAACAGGTGTCGGTACGCTTTTTTGTCGGTGCTACTTTCTGCTGAAGGCAGTGCAGATTTGCCAAGGTTGTGTAATGTTTACGGCTTGGCGTAGAACTTTCGTTGTCATTGACCTTCCTTCTCTTGTTTCTCTGACCTCCACAACAGTGCCGGCCGAAGCTGCCTTCCAGGACGATGGGGACGGTGGGAGCGACTCCTCTTCTCTTAAATGCGAACTGGTTGGGTCGCAACCCACGATGCGGCAACGATATGAGGGCATGTACCAGTGCGAGTTCTGCCCTTATTCTAGTCGTAATCTATCTTCTGTCATTGACCATGAAAGGACACACACAGGACAGAAGCCTTTCCACTGCTCTGTCTGCAAGAGAGGGTTTACTCAAACGTCTCACTTACAGGTGCACATGAGGACTCACACGGGTGAGAAACCATTCAGTTGCGAGGTTTGCCAGAAGACGTTCGCCAGAAGTCATGGCCTGACGATTCACAAGAAAGCACATACTGGTGAAAGACCGTACCAATGTGGCATGTGTGAGAAACGATTTACGAAAAGAGTTAGCTTGTCATGTCATGAGAGAGCCCACAATGGGGAGCGGCCTTACAAGTGTGAAGCCTGTGGGAAAGCGTTTACCCATATAAGCGTTTTAAGTAGGCATAAAAAAGTGCACAAGTGAGGGATCTGTTTGTTGTTCACCTAAGGTGAGAAATGGAGGCATATTCACAGTTCTAAACATTATGAGTTGCGGTTAGGCAAGAGCCGTAGTTCTGCAATGTAGTATTTTTATTTTGTTTTGAATTGCCTTATTATAGGTGCTTTTACCTTCTTGGTAAATATTTGCTTTAGGTCCTATGGAGCTACGTTCGACGGTTCATTTGGAGTGGATGAGGAAACTGAGTAGTTTCTCTCTCAGCTCAGAGATTTCAAAATGTTGAGGTATGATGCAGTCAATTTCCAACTTTATCTGTGAAAAGTGAAATTTATCTGTTTATTTCTTGTTTTGTTCACACTGATGTATTCTTTTATTACTCTTATTCCTTTACAACTGTATTTTGCTTCTTGCTAGAAAATCTGCCAAATGTAAAAGCAGCAATTAAAGTGTACATGAAAAAGAATTTACTATTTGTACCGTGAGAGCCGATTGAAGTACAACCCCGCCACAACCTTTCGAGTTGTGCAACAACTTCAGTGCTTTGCTTAAATAATTTTGGAATTGGTGTCTCGACCTTTCTGAAGTAAGGAACAAAAAAACGCTTTTTGCCTGCCTGTCCTAGTTTTTATTTTAAAATGAACAAAGATTGAGGTTTTTTGTCACCTCTCAGCTCTTTCACCATCTTCTGAGTCACATGTGCTGTGACGTCAATGGGGGTCGTGCGTGGTTCCTGTGAAGCTCTCTCTCTAGAGCCATCAGTGAGCAGTGAGAACTCGTCCGCTCGCGACCATGTGCTGGTGCAGCTGAAGCAATATGGTGAAAGGAGGAAAGTTTCATCTTAGTCAGGCCATCCCCGTCCGGCTCTGCTTCCAGATCAAGGGCTCTGTCTGCCCTTGTCCCCCTTCGGCTTCCGGCAGCTGTTGCGGTAACAGATAGAGCCGGAGGTTTCGTGGACCTAGGATAGATGGCGCCACTAAAACTCCGTATAATAAAAGTTTTGTGGATGATATCAGGTTTTTGACGCATTTATATTTATGTTGGAACGATTATAGAGAAGGTATTTGCACAACTTCCTATATTTTTACAAATTCCCCATTGACATCGTGCCGCGTGGTTCTCATAGCCGCCGCTCACGGCTGCAGGTCGGGGAATATTCTAGTTTTTGCCTCACGATTACGCGGCAAAATTGCAACATCTTGAAGGAAGGAGGTGTGTTTTCTGTCCTTTGTGACGAGATAATGTCAAAAGTAGAAGATGCCACTTCTTTCAATGTTAAAATCGTTGCACAGCTCCTTTAACAATTGCGATTTGCTTAAATCTAGAGCCTGAAGTAAACAGCGAACTTGATTGTCCGATTCAGAGTCTGGCCATATCAGTATTGGTTCTGCTCGTTTTACTTGTGACTTTGTTTTCTCTTAGTGCTCGTTTCGCCAATTTTTATTGCTACAGTATGCGTTTGGTGTTTGTGTCAGTCTGCCATGTTTGGGGCTTAAAAAGCAGTAAAATGCTTACATCACACGAGCGGCAGTATCTTTACAATTTATTCTCTTCTCAACCCCTGCAGGGGGCGCCTACACCTTAGGTGAACATATAAAAAAGCACAGGAAAAGACTAGGACAATCAAAGAAAACAAGCGCCTAACACCTTAGGTGTTAGGTGGTTGGTGAGTGGCGTCACCACGAACCCTGAGCAATGTGGGTTCACCTACCCATGCCTGGCTGTGTGTGGCTTAACCGGTGTCCAGGCAAAAAAGGATCCTGGTGGTTGAGCTGAGCCCGGGGTTTGTTTGGACCCTTCGGGGCCCCTAGAGAGAGATAAATCCTGACATGGTTTTACAACACACCAGACAACGGAAATTTGTCTTCAGGAAAAAAATTACCTTTCTTTGTCATTATGTTTTCGAAATGTTGATTGTGAGCAATATTGGGCACGTGCAGAATTATTTTACGTCTAATGACTGAAAGCAGTTATGTTCTGAGAGTAGGCACAGGTACACTTAGCGTTTTGAACAGTAGAGAGACTTGTAACTGGATTTGCAATATTTGCACCTATTTCTCTTCTGTGTTTCTAGGTCACTGGTGCAAGCCATCATACCTCACATTTTACTGTCAGCTTTGGCTTTAAAGGACAAGTGAACTGTTTTGAAGATGCAGTTTGATTCTTCACTGCTTAGGGCAGGCATCCTCGCTCTTGTGACAGAGGGCGCTAAATTTAATAAGGCAGACATGGCGTGGGAGAAATTAAATCATTCTTGGATTGTTGCTCCTGAGCAATACTGGGCATGAAACGGTTAACCTGTGTCCGGGGGAAAGAGGATACTGGTGGTCGAGCTGAGGCCGGGTTTTGTTTGGAACCTTTGTGGCCCCCTGCGCGAGGAAACATTACACTTCGACCTTCGCTTCTTGTAGACTGGTGTCCTGGAATGCCCCGGCCAGGATGATGTATTCAGTCGCCTCTTCTCTCAGTTTTCCTTCCACCTTTTTCTCTTTTATTCCACACTCTCTTCTTTCCTTTTCCACCTTCTTAGGTGGCAAGGGCCAACCTTGGATGGAAACAGGCTCTGTCCCTGCAACCACACTCTGGTATCTTGCCCGGGCAGCACTATAGTAGAATATTTGCGTCAGCCAAGCCTTGTTATGGCACAGTACCTACCCCCTTGTTGGGCTCTGAGGTGGGTGGTGCAACCGAGCACTGAATTTCCTTCTCATGTATTATAGGTGTTATCTTTCTTTGTCTTGGCCCGGAGTCGGAAGGTCGAAAGGAAGACTACTCACATTGGTAAAAAGAAGATAGAAGTGAGATTTAATACTTAGTGCGAATTGGGGTGGCCACACAGGCTGAGTTCACGTTCACTCGCCACACAGGCGGAGGTTCTGGTCTTCTGTCGCCACACAGGTGTTACGGCGCAGCGAGGTGCATACTGCGTCGTACGTTGAGAGAGTCTGGTCTGCGGAGACCCCGCCCAGTAACAGCCAGCTCCGCGTAACATGATCCGTGGGAGCGGCCTCGGTGCTCGGTGCTTCGCTCGGACTTCGCACGAAAGTTCTTATAAGCGTAGTCGCGCCGCCGGATACTAGCAATAAGGGGTTGCTTACTTGTGAGAAAAGTCTACATAGGCTCTAAACAAAATAACTTTCCTTAATCGGTTTCTGAAAAGGAGCCTCACCTAAGCACTAATCTCTGAAAAAACATCTTGCATACCTTCAAAGTTCCTCAAGTTTCTTGCTATGCACTCGAAGGGCAGTAAACCGCTTAGTAAGTTGCCTCTTTTCCTCGTCTCGAAAGTTCTCGAAGAAGTGATTGGAAAAAACTACAAGGCCAAAAAGATGTCATCCGGTGATCTCCTAGTAGAAATACACACTAAGCAGCAAAGTAATTCACTTTTAGCACTCAACTGCATGACTGATTACAAAGTAACTGTCACACCTCATCGAACATGCAACAGGATTCAAGGTGTGATCTCAGAAGACTACTTGCTCGAAAGTACAGAAGCCAAAGTAGTTGAGGGCGTTTCTACGCAGGGAGTAATTGCTGCATGGCGTGATGGTATTGAATGCAAGAGCTTGCATATCCTTACATTTGAGTCAACCACCCCTCCTGAAGTTGTAAAGGCAGGATATCTTCAGTGCCGTGTCTGCCCGTTTGCCAATCCCTCGGTGGTGCTTCAAGTGCCAGCGGTTCAGCCATGGGTCATGGAACTGTTAAGGAAGTGACACTTGTGCCAAGTGTTCTATTAAGGAGCATGCTGCTGCTTTGTGCGAGAACGAGCACCAGTGTGCTAACTGTAATGGCCATCATCCGGAATTCTCTTGATCCTGCCCCTTGTGGAAACAAAAAAAGGACATTCTTCGAAGGCCCCGTTAAGCATTTCTCACATTGATGCAAAGAAGCACTTTGCTTTTGTTTCCAAAGAATCTTGTGCCCAGGCTGCGCGGAGGGAGGGAACCAGCACAGCCTATGGTATCGGTGGGGACGCAGACGGCTATGGACTATCTGCGTTTCCTGTTGAGGTCTCCCTCTACGTCCTCTAGAGCGGGGCCAGTGGCACCACGTGCAAACCGTAAGGTGGGTGCTGCCTCGTCAGCATCCATCCCGAAGCAGAGAATGACGCCCTCTGCTCCTCCTGCCACTTTGCCCACTCATGGCCGAGGTCAACCCGCCTGCACCTCTGCTGCCCAGAGGACTCCCGGGGAGCCATCCAAGCAGATAACCTCCAAGGGTCAGCTGTCGATAACAACAGACGGGCAGGTGGATGAGAGTGTACCCAGATCCAACGAGGATGCACCCCTCATGATTGGAGTCCTCCTTTCTGTCTCCAGCGACTCCACTCTGAAGCAGATAGATCCCCATAACAAACATAACACCCCATGGGTAAAGATAGATTTTAAACCATAACAAATGTTAAGTTTAGTTCATCTTTTATAGCATTTGCCTCCCTTTTCTCTAATCGCAAAGAGCTATAGCATCATGCAGCAGAACTGCCGGAGTTTTTTCCCTAATATTGATGACATAAATTTTTTTGTTGAGTTTTGACCTGTTGCTATATGCCTACAGGAGACTCATCTTAAGGACACGCAAACAAATGTTCTACGCCATCATCAGGTTTTTAGAAAGAACCGTGCATGTTCTAGCATCTCGTCTGGTGGAGTACCCGTCGGTGTGCAGGGTCGTATTGCTCGTGCTTTGGTTTCTCTCACAACCTCACTAGAAGTAGCGGCAGGTTGTATTCTTCTTGAGCACATTATTACACTTGTTACAGTTTATTTGCCACCATATATTCCATTTCGTTTACGTGACCTGCATGGACTGGTGGCCCAGCTTCCGCAGCATTTTATAATCTTGGGGGATGTTAATACCCATCACCCCATATGGGGTAGTGCTCGCCGAGACTCCCGTGGTGGACCGTGGTGTCATTGAACACTTTTTATTATCATCCGGCCTTTGCCTTTTAAATGAACGAGAACCTATATTTTAGTGCACCTTCTAACACTTTTACTTCCATCGATTTGTCTCTTTCCTCCCCAACATCCCCGTTTTTCTTTAAACGTTTTAGGTAATCCTTTTATGGAGTAGCCATTTTCCTGTTACCTTAAAACATACTGTAGTGCCTCCTTCACTTCCAATACACATTCCCAGGTGGAAATTAGACAAAGCTGACTGGGCTCTTTTTGCATTGGAAGCAGTGCTTGACCCAACTGAACTTTTGGCTATTACCCCTTAAAATGCAACCCTGTATGTTATTGACCGTATCATAAATGCTGCATCTGTCTTCCTTCCACAAGCATCTGGAAATGTTCCCAAGTGCTGCAAAACTTGGTGGACCAAAGACTGTTCTGTTATGCTTCGATCTCAGAACAGGGGGGCACTTTGTGCCGCTACCCAACGGTCTGGAACAAGATGGAGTTTAAAAAATGTAGTGCAAAGGCTCATTGGACAAGGAAACAAGCCAAGAAATCAATTTTTAGCTCATGGCAGCTGGAATGGGATGTAAAAAAAAAAAACTATGTTATCAAATCCCATCCTGGGATTTGATACAGACTGTCATCCTGAACTTCCCTTTGCCTCCTGAGAAATCACCAATATCTTCTCCGTGGCGAGAATGCAAAGCTGTATGTCCATTGTAAAGAACTTTTGATTATCTTGCATATCAATTGTGACATCGTAGCTTTATCACAATCTGCTTGGATTATGCTTTCTAGAGCTTTCTAGGGAAGGTCTTTCATTTTATACCTTCCTCCTGCTGTTTCGTTTCATTCATGCAGCTGCATTTTAGATTATCATAAAAATTGTCATTTTTTGACGATTATAATTTCTAAAGCTCTAATTACATTGCTGTTCTCAATTGTTCTAAATTAGTCTCACTTGGCGCAATAAGGCCTCAGTTGCTCACTTGGTGCAATATACAGTCGTTTTGCCAAACTTGCATTGATCACTTAACGCAGAGAAGGCATTAAGATACCTGTGCTGTAACTGCATTATTTCTCTGCAAAAGATGTTTTCTTTTTCCTGGTACATGGCTGGCCAATGGCTATTTTTGAAATAATAGACTTGAGCATAGGATTGGGTATTGCAGAACATATCATCTTATCTGCCTATAAGCCAGTGTGCTGTTTACAAACAAGCTGGTATTTGCTCGCACCCAGTGTAAGCATGACGCGTGTGCGGAAACCAGATTTGTGAGAAGGGAAGCGTCTGTGCGTGCTCCGTGCCGACAGCAATGCCACTGTGGCGGCATGACACCATGGCTGCAAGCAGGTGTATATACTTGTAACAGCATTGAAAAATTTCTGCTCCAAAGCTATATCCATTAAGTGCACTCATTGTGATGCCAGCTTTCTGGTTATGCCTTTGGTAAACAGAAATCGAAACTTTGAAGTTTCAATAATTGATGTAGCTTTATAAAAGCTATAGCAAGAAGATGTGTGATGAATAGCATGCAAGTGCTGAAAATGTAATTGTTTATTATTTACATGAATAGTGCACGGTGCATATTAGAACATGTTGCCACATCAGTGTCTGCACATTCAATTTGATATGCCACATGTTCCCAACAGGACTTGCCACAGGCACCACCTGCAAAGAAGAGAAGGGCTAGTGGAAGTCTCCCCAGCAGCTGAAGGACAAACACCAATGCCATGTTGGTCTTTACTCTGCATGCAACAGAGTTGACATCACAAGACACGAAAGGATGCACTTGGGATAAAGAATATATTAAAGTGCACCACATCTGTGAGAGACTTAAAACATGCACCCGCCTTGATGAATCTCGGAAGAATTCATTAGGGAGAGCGCCATACCTGTGCTAGAATTGTCAGAAATCAATCATATGAGCTGATCTATTTTTGCATCGATGAGGTGCCACCTTGAGGGGTACCCATTTTGAAGTACCTGGAGACACCCATTTGTACTGAATTCAAGTTTCTCCATATGTTTTAACTCCTGATGACTTTTGAGGTTATACATTTGTGAGCAGTATTTCTTGGATAGACATTTGCGTAATTAATTTGATATATGTGAGTGTGTGAAAAGTAAGGAAGGGTGTGGTGTTTTGTGCAAAGCTCTCCATATTCTTAATATAAAAAGTTGCCACTTGTTAAAAGCATGTCCAGTGAAGTGGTTCGTGCGACAAATAGGACTAGAAGTGTGTTGCTACGGTATATTATTTTGTATACACAAATCTGTTGCTATGTCCCTTTTTGCAAACGCCGACGTCAAGGTTCCCGCATCGTTCCTGTGCACCGCAGGAAAGTGCGCTACTTTCTAAGGGAGTCTATTGCAGCCCCAGATGTAATTTCAGTGTCATTGGTGGTGCACGCAACAGAACATTGCTTGGGAATGTTGAGTAAATGTTTGTTTCCAAACTCTTTTTGTAAAAAAAAAACTGAGTTTTTTTGCAGATATAGAAATTGTAGTTTTGGATGGTGTTACATATACTGAGTACTTTCCGAGTGAGCTTAAAGATTTCAAAATGCTTAAATATAAGGCAATCGATTTTCTGCCTTTTCTGTGAAATTTGTGTTCCTTTATTGTTTTGTTAATTTATAAATAAATTTTTTTTTTTTTTGCAGCTGTCTAGCTCCAATACTTCCACTGCTGTATATTGCTTGCTAGAAATTGCAGCCAAATGTAAAAAAAAAACTACTATAAAGTGTCAATGAAAAAAGTGCAACATAAGTAAAAAAAATTCAGTATTTGTACCGTGAGAGCTGATTGAAGTATAACCCCACTCTAACCCCAATTACGATTTCCTCAAATCAAGAGGATGAAGTAAACGCCGAACTTGTCATGTTCGTTTTACTTGTGACATTGTTTTTCTGAGCTCTCCTCTTTCGCTACAATATGCTTTTGGTGTCCGTATCAGTCTGCCATGTTTGGGGTATTAAAAAACAGTCAAATGTTCACATCGCACCAGTGACAGTGCCTTTAATTTTTTCTCTTCTCAAACTTGCAGGTCGACTCTGGCAACCATTGCAAGATGCAGGAAATGGCACATTGCTGCTTTGCAGACAGCGTCCTTCCCGTTGGCCAACTCAACTTTTGGGAACATGGATTCTCTGTGCAGTGTTCTTGCTTATATCTTGACCGTATACTTTCCGGTGTCAATTCATGTCAAAAATCGGCGGATGTTTTTCGGTGTTCATTTCTTTCCAAGATACCGGTGCATTTCGGTGAATTGTCTCGTGCAGACACTTAAAATAGCGTTTATCGACGGAAAAATTGCGCATAGAAACAAACAATCGAGAAATAACGGTTAAACTTTTATTTACATCTGATACAAAATGTTCCTCATACTTCATTGTCGCGATTTATACTTCGTTTCAGCTTAAGTTGAGACACGCTTCGACCCCGAAAATTTTAAAAGACTTTAAACCACCCAACTAAGGTCCACAAAGAAGGAGGCCAACCCTCAACAGGGCAATCTACAAAAGGGAACAATGAGGCCAAATTTTTGGGGACATAAACTAAAGGTCAATGAAACCAGCCTTGATAGAAAAAAACACACCTTGATCACTAGAGACCTAAGGAGACCTATGCTAACATCCAAAACCACCGTAAAAAAAAAAAAAAAATTGTGTCTAACGAATGTTTACATACAACTTGCTCTGTAAAAAAAAACAAAAAAACTGCCGCTTGTACAAAAATGTTCAAGAACCACTATTTTTTCGGTTTTAACCGATTTTTTATTTTCGACACTGCAGATGTTTATTGGTGTTTTACGGTTAAAACCGGAAAGTATACAGCCTACTTATATCATTTCCAGCATCATTGAATCAAATGGAGTGTCCCCTATTGCATCAATTGAATCCCAGTTATTTAGACAAGCACAACCATTCAACCTACTCTACTACATTACCATCAACCTATTTGTGCAAACAAAACCAGTCTGATGTGGTTGTCTTGCACCATTTGCTCTTGACTGGTGTTTGAGACTACAAGATGTCAGCAATTGTGATTTTCTAACCACATTTTTCCACTGGAAGGAGTGCGTGCATACTCGAATAATGTGTGATTTTTCGTTGATTTGAGTGACATTGACTCTACAGTGACATTTTGTAGGACATTATTATGACGGACGGACGTCACTACATGATACTGCCACAGTACCATAGCTTTCACTGCAGCCTTCTATTTCATCGGAGCTCCAGAAATTGGGTTTGCTCATTGTTGCTTATGGCAATTAGGATGCGAGATGAGCTGCTTCAATGAAAGATGCATGAATGGGCTATGCTCATATCTTTTTCATTTTCCCAAAGTGCTTTTCCTAATACTTGAATCATTCTTATTTGTCAAGTTTGTTTGATTTGTTCTGAAACAAACAGGCGTCAGTACACTTGTTTGTGTGTGCTAATTTCTGCTGAATGCAGTGCAGATTTGTCAAACTTGTCTTTTGTTGGCATTGAACACTCTTTGTTGTTGAATCTGTCTGGTTTCTCTGGTCTCTCCAACAGTACCGGAGGAAGCAGCCTTCCAGGACGATGGAAACAGCGAGAGCGACTTCTCTTCCCCAAGAAACGAACTAATTGAGTCGCAACCGACGACGCGGCCACGATACGAGGGCATGTACCACTGCGAGTTCTGCCCTTACAGCAGTCCTTACCAAATCAGTGTCACCAGGCACGAAAGGACACACACAGGAAAGAAGCCTTTCCGCTGCTCTGTTTGCGAGAGAGCATTTGCTCAAATGACTCACTTACAGGGGCACATGAGGACTCACACGGGTGAGAAACCATTCAGTTGCGAGGTTTGCCAGAAGGCTTTCACCAGGAGTCATGACCTCAAGATTCACAAAAGAGCACATACTGGCGAAAGACCATACCAATGTGGCAAGTGTGAGAAACAATTTTCGAAAAGAGTTCGCTTGTTATGTCATGAGAGAGCCCACAATGGGGAGCGGCCTTACAAGTGTGAAGCCTGTGGGAAAACGTTTGCCCAGATAAGCAATTTAAGTAGGCATAAAAAAGTGCACAAGTGAGATTTTTGTTTGTTGTTCACCTAAGGTGAGAAACAGGCATATTCACAATTCTAAAAATTAAGAGTTGCGGTTAGGCAACAACCGTAGTTCTGCTATGTAGCATTTTTATTTTGTTTTGAATTGCCTTACTATAGCTGCTTTTACCTTCTTAGTAAATATTTGCTTTAGTTCCTATGGAGCTACGTTCGACGCTTCATTTTGAGTGTATGAGGAAGCTGAGTAGTTTCTCAGCTCAGAGATTTCAAAATGCTCAAGTGTGATGCAGTCAATTTCTAACTTTATCTGTGAAAAGTGAAATTTATCTGTTTATTTCTTGTTTTGTTCACACTGATGTATCAGTTTCGTGCAGTTGTCGAACACTTATTCTTTTACAACTGTATTTCTCCTCTTGCTACAAAGAAAAAAAATGCAAAAGCTGCTATTAAAATATACATGAAAAAGAATTTACTATTTGTACCTTGAGAGCCGATTGAAGTATAACCCCGCCACAACCTTTCTTAAGGGGGCTGTGCAACAATGTCAGTGCCTTGCTTAAATAATTTTGGAGTTGGTGTCTCGACCTTTCTGAAGTAAAGAACAAAAAACCGCTTTTGCCTGCATGTCCTAGGTTTTATTTTAAAAAATGGACAAAGATTAAAGGGCAACTCCGCTTCATTTTTTATATTTAGAAAACTATGTAGCCATCTACAGTATCATAGGAAGACCCCATGTCAAATATTACGATCTAATTCCGTTTATATATTTAATAAACTGGCCAGCAAACCTTCAAGTGAGTCAAGTCGCCAAAAGCTGCCAACTCTAGCGCGCGGTGCAAACGTCAGCGCAGTCAATGCGACGGAGTTTGAGCGGCAAACGTTGAGCCACTATGTCGGAGGCATGACTACATCATTCACACGTTTTGTTTGTTTTTACTTCTCAGGGCGAAATTGAACATGACGTCATGAGTTTCTCCCGGTGTTGGCTGACCGGGCGTTCACGTGATCACCGTAACGCGAATGTGCTAGTTTGCACTGCTCTGCGCGCTTATCGGTCTGTTTCTCAGCTCCCCTTTTCCTCTTTTGTCTTCTCCCCTTCCCCCTCTTCCCCGGGCCATCACCGTCCAGGCAACACCTCCTAGAAGACAAGGCCATAGCACTCTACTCGTGACGTCGCGAGGGAAGGCCATCGGGGGCGCGCGGCGAAGCAAGGGCAACGCGCGTGGATCGATCGTCGTAACGTGCTTTTAGTCACATAAGCGTGTCTTATTAGCTAAATTGAAAGCTGCACATAGCAACGGGTCTTGAAAACATTTCATTACACGGGCAAAATATTACACCGCTAAGTGATCGGTATGAAATGGTACGAGGAAGGCGTATAAGAGAAAACATTGATTCACGCAATTATTGCTGCAGGAATGCATATTTTATACAGAAATACTTCGACAAAATGGCAAGACACGCAGTGATTGGACACAGCAAAACAGGTCACATTGAAAAATCAGGTAGATGTAGTCAACGCGGACACGGCTAGAGGAATGTCACTTACTATCATGTAAGCGATGTTATCGCGTGCAGTGACTGAATTCTTGCATCATACCCCTGCCACATGGCAAAAGTAATGTAATTTCGATCTAATGAAAATATGGGGCCGACAAATCAGCTTGCGACGCTCATAAAATCACTAAAAACAGCGAGCTGATTAAATCCCGTATTATTTAATCAAAATATATTAACTTTTCCATGTGGCAGGGATACTAAACTTACTATTTACAGTCAAGTAATTTAATTCTCCCTATGGGCTCGAGGTGCCTAAGAACAAAATATAACCTATTTTGTATACAATAATACTTCTACCTGAAAGGGATACTTCAACGAAATTTGAAATATTCCCGTCTTGTTCAAAACGTTGAATATGATCCACAATATCTGTAAATGACAATCGCACGTTTGTATTTTGATCCTGGTGGCTGTATTTTTCGTTATAAACGGCCCACTCTGGCAAGCGCTCGGAGAAGGCCCAGCTTAGAGCACGTGACATCCAACACAATCGTGACGTAGGTTGTCTCTTAAGACGAGCAAAGCTACGGCGAGGCTGACGTAAAGAGGATGGCCTAGTCGTTCCAGCCACCGAAGCGGCTGCTTTTGTACGAATTTTGAGAGATGGGTTAATCTACTATAATCTTCTAGGGGGACAATAGCAACTTCTGCGACACACAACAGGGATTCTCGGGAAGAGGGGAGTTCCTCCTTCCCCCCTTCTCTCGTCGTGGCCGAAGACGAGACAACCTCCGTCACTAGCTGTCAAGGTTCCTAGACGGGCATTACAAGCGAGGCGTTAGCGACATCCACCAGGTGCTCTTTGCTAATCGTTTAATTCGTTTTAAAATTCCTTTTCGAGACTTTTTTAACAAGATATTGGTATGTTCCATGTGATACTGCTCTTTTGAACACATATAGGCCAAAAAAATGAGCGCCGAAATTTCGTTGTAGTATCCCTTTAATACAGTTAAGACTCTAGTATAAATGCGGTAAAGGCGACAAAATAACATTAGTATAAACAAACACATAAGCACAAACAACACACTTTCAATAATCACACAAACTTGTTATTTACCTTCCAGTAAAAACGAATATTACCACGCATAATTATAAATGTCGACGCAATAGCAAACGGATAATGACGAAAAACAAAACTTTATTCTATCACGATATTTAAAAAAAAAAAAATTGACTGCAGCACTTTACTTGCGTCTTACATGACCAAGAAAACTCGTAAATCAGTTGTTCCTCACCTGTCGATCGTATCCATACGTCCCACGCGATCCATCACGAAAAAATTTTAACACAAACTTCAAGAAGTCTCTCTGTCGAGAGAGGTCATCGGCCAGTCGGGCCAGTGTCATCGTTGACTAGTTGCCACTCGCGTCAGTCAAACCATAGCATGACTTGTTTCGCGAATCCACGCAAATGCCGTAGTATCAAGCAAACACACACACACACAAAAAAATAAAAAAAAAAAAATTACCCAAGACTGCAGTGACGACAAAAAAAAAAAAAAAAAAAAACGATGGGTAGGACAAAACCACACACACACGCGCGCGAGAGCAGCACCAGCATTGTGGGACGAGAGGCTTAACATTGTCGACCCATCTCTTCCTTGTGTGCGCTCCCTCCCAGCGGCGATGAATGGATTTTTTTTTCGGTTTCTTTCCCTTCTGAAATGACTCAGCGTACCTTTGCATGCAGTCAGCAGCTCGCATGCAACGTAAATTTACCAGAATCGAAGCCCTTGCGACGGAAGATGTCGCATCGGAAATTCGGAGCCGGTTCGTTCGAAAAGTCTGGGGAGCTGCGGGACTGCGCTTAGTCCCGCGGTTACGGGGATAATCAAAAATACAAATTTGGTACTTTCAACCTTGGTACCACATTATATATTACGTTTATATTAAATATATAATAAATTGTACAAGACTGACGCTTTTAAAATGTGTATTAATGTCGGATAAACGCGCACAAACATTTATGCGCCGATACGCGTCGACAGCGGCATTTTCTCACGTAGTTGCGCCATGGCCTTCCTTCCTCCGCCATGGACCTTTTCCATATACCGACGGCACCAGGCGGTGGCTGCGCGAACTAAAAAATCGAGGAAGTGACCTGCGCTACCAATCAATAATGGGAGCTACGTTACCAGTTGCTTCGCTCTCTGAGCAGCGTCGCGTGGCCAGTGCAACGAGGTAGGCCTAGAGCGACTTTAAAGAAGGAAATCCGTAGCGTCCACCCAAACGTCGTGTTTTTCTTTCCGTCCACTTTCTTTTTTTGTGTAACACAATTATATATATGCTGCAATGACGTGTTCTACTCGTCGATTTACAGCCTCATTCCGAATTTCCTCGATTTTTTCGTGCCGACTTCCACCGCTTGGCATCGGGCGCTCGCGCGTGCGCAGAACGCTTCTCGGAAAAGGTCCATTGTGACGTGCCCACTCGGAGCGCTATGGCCTTCTCTTCCAGGAGGTGTTGGTCTTGGCCATGCGAAGCGACCTGCCTGCGTCGCGTCTCCTGTCCCTCGTTCCCTCCCGAACGTCACAAGACCACGTGGTTCGACGTGACGTGGCCATGACTCTGACGACCCGAGACCAATGTTGCCTGACGCAACCAAAGTTTCTGTTTCGGTAACAGCTGATACTGCCCTGCGAAGCAGTGTGAACGCAGGAAAGGGGGTGGGTCAATACGCACCCCAGTGATGCACGCGTGACGAAATGTCCATACAGTGCGTAACGAGTCAATGAAACGATTGCATCGATGAAACGTGTGTTTATGAAATGTGTGTCCATGAAAAGTTGTTCACAAAACGAGTTTCGACGAAACAATAAAGACCCGGCCGGGGAGCGCGAGAACCGTCTAAAGGGCGAGGTTGATTGCTGCAAGTTCTCCTTTGGTTGAGGCGCCTTCAGGGAGTTGCTTGGTAGCACTGATTTGTAGGGCAGGAATGGCTACAGCTGCCGTCTTCATGGTGACGGGGTTGTCTAGCGATGCGGTGTCCGTGTAGGCAGCCATGATGCTGTTCGGATCCCATGCTTCTGCCATCTTGATGTGCGCCTTGGCTTTACGAGTTAGCTGCTTGGTATCCCCCTTGTGTGCACTAGGCTTGTTTTCGGTGATTTCCGCGAAGTCTTCCCATGGCGGAAATTGCTCGGGTAATTCTGGGAGGTTCTCCGATGGCCTGTGGAGGAGTTTCATAATCCCTCTGCTTTGGCCGGCGAGCTTCAGGTGCTCGCTGTGAGCAACCGTGCAGGCCGTCACCACGTCGTGGAGTTGGTTGATACCGGCTTGTTCCCGCAGTTTGCCAAGGGGGATAAACTTGGGAAGGCCGGTGATTATACGCATTGCTTGATTGGTCAAAGTTTCCAGTTTCTGCCACTGTCCCTTGTTGAGCCAGTAGTGGCGGGCTTCGCAGACTATGCACGAGACTATGAGGGCTTTGACCATCCGTTTGGCTATGCTTCCAGTCGCCCCTCCTCTTGGGCTACATACACGCCTGATGGCGTTCAGTGCGGAGTTGCAGTACTTGAGTGTCTTGTAACCAGATGTCTCCCTTGCCCATTTCTTTAATTGTAATCTTTAACATCCTGACTGAAGGGGAGGGTTGGATTCTTTTACCCGCAAGGACGGTGCAGATGGCCTCGTAGCTTTTGCGCCATAAACCTTCAAAATCTCGCTCATGAGGACAAGATAACATCGTTTTTCGATCTTGGCATTTCTGTGTCTTCTTGGTGCCACCACGATGTAGTGGGTCTTTTCCGAAGATGCTTAAGCAGTCCAACCCTGGCTAGGAGAGCTTTGTTTGTGTCGACGCCTGCTTGAATCATGCCTTGCTGCTTTGTAATGTCTTCTGCTTTTGTCCGCATTAAAGGGGTCCTGCAATCGTATTTAAGCGTCTACCTTTTTTGCGGTTTCAATATCTCTTGGTGTTCGGGCAAGTCAGCAGGCACGGAGAGAGTAGCTAAATATCCATGCATCATGTTTTAACCGGACGACGCGGAAACCTTCTGCGCCTATGGGGCGACCTGCGGTTCCAAAAGCGCGCAAAATGTGTCGTATTTGGTCCTGGGCTTACCACTAGTCCGAGCCACTAAAAGCTTCTTTTTACCCGAAATACAAAATATAAGTCGCACGAATTGTTTCCATTATTTATGAAAGTATTTTTTGTCCAGTGTTTTAGAAGAGAAAAGAAACTAATGGTTTAGAAACTACGGAAACAAGAAATGACCTGTCAACATACCCGCCACCAAACCGTGGAAAAGGTGGCACATACTTGAAAGGTGTAGTGGGATCAAGCACCAACGAGCGGCGAGTGTAGAAAGGTCCTGGATATATGCGGCGGCACTGCAGTCGTATGGACTAAAGGATCTGAGTGTTTTCAAGGCCTTCAGCGAGCAGCTTCGGTGCGCGGTTTGGCCTTTTTGGCGGTATGGCAGCGCGAAGTGGCTCCCGTTCTGAACTGATCTTTACCCCGTGTTTGCTGCCGTTTGTGGCCAATGAAGTGTTATGCCGGATTAGTGTTTAGTCGCACAGCAGATGCAATGTGAGCCGCCCTGGCTGCCCGCTTCATACAGCCTAGCCAGAACATGCTTTAGTGGCGCCATCTTGAGCCGTCGACACAAAGTGCGGCAGCTGCGAATGCTCGCTGAGCTCACTACCCCTCCTCTAGTTCACGGCCACTCAAACAACCAAGGACGTCATGAAGGAGGTTATTTTTTGCTTGTTTTTGTAATTTTAATTTGCCTATAACTTTTAAAATAAAGCGAATAAAGTTTCATTAAGTTACTACGTTCAGTGCGCAAAGGTTTGGTGCTAATTAGAAACTAGTAAAAAAGTCCTGGTAGAGCCCCTTTGAAGGGGCACTGACGCATCAAAATCATATTTAATTTTATTATCCGAAACGATTGATTGAAAGTATTAAACATGGCACACCTTGACAAATGCCTACTGTATTATAGCTCACAAAGAAGCTTGTATTATACATAAATCATAAAATCCTTCACGACTTGTCACAGTGAACGGTCTTGTATAGTCCGCACCTGTAGATAGTTCGTATCAGGTGAATTCTCAACTTTTGTACAGAGAAAAGCTCACCGGAGAAAAGCTCACCGGAGATAAGCTCACCGCAAAACCGGCGAATGCGGAGAAAAGCTCACCGGCCATTGAGCGTATGCGGAAAAAAGCTCACCGATATTTTTTCTTCTTTTTATATGGAGGCTGTTGGATCATGCTTAACATATATCAATTTATTATCATTAAAATTTGTCATCTTTGTAAAAAAGAAAATGTCCTTTTTTGTAATATTTGTTAACTTATTGGGTATAGTGCACCCAAATTAATAATTGCAGGCGAGTGTTTTCTGTGGCTTACTCTCTAGGAAACGAAAGCCTAATTTAAAGTCTTTATGACCTTGAAGAACAGGAAAAAGTTAAAAAAAACTTGATGTCTGCCTAAAACATTAAAATCAAAGCTGTAAATGCCAAAAATCCCAAAGTGCATGCGCAACAACGTGGTGCCTAAAATTCTCTTTGAAGCTTTTGTTAACCTTTGAAAACAGGATAAAACAGTCAGTAGGATATCAAGGCTTCTTTCTTCCACAGACATGCATGTTTTCTAGCCGTTCGTGCTGGTGTTTCCACACGTTCCCTTTGTGTGATAGTGCCCTTCTACGGTGAGCCACCCATGACCTTCGGAGCTGCACACTGGTACCGTTGTTACTCGTGACCTATACAAGAAGTAGTCTTCTGTAAGGGAGCGAATAGGGCGAGTTGGTGAACGTCATACATGATGAAAACCACTCAAACCACGACGACGGAGTGAAGACAACAAACACGACACGACGAAGCTGTTCTCGCAGCTAAAGTTTTGTTAGTGAAATTAACAGAAAGAAAACAGCGTAGCCGACACTGATTACATCAACAAACAGCTACTTATCTATTAGGCACTACACAATATTTTGAGCTGAAATGGTTCACAAACCGCTATTCATATTAGCTCGCAATGTTCATAAAATTCTTAATGCAGAATTTCGCAAAATTCATAATGTTCGCTATTCATATTAGCTCGCAGAGCTAGCGACGGCGCACTGTCAGCTGTCAATAAATTGTTGCCTTTTTACCGGGGTACGATGTTCTGGTTTTATACTTTTGGCTTCATTAATTTACAAAATGGGTGATTACTAATTTCTGAGGAATCTGTAAAGATGCCCAATGAACTTCACGAATATTACAAAAAATGACATATTTTTAATGAAGTGACGAATGCGAATTGTGTTAAATTGTCACGTTTGACGCAGAATCAAGCTAAGCTAAAAAAATATCGGTGAGCTTTTCTCCGCAACCGCTCAAAGGCCGGTGAGCTTTTCTCCGCATCTGCCGGTTTTGCGGTGAGCTTTTCTCCGGTGAGCTTACCTCCGGTGAGCTTCTCTCCGGTGAGCTTTTCTCCGCCGCCCTTCTCAAACTGCTCGAGTAGACTTGAGTTACGTCCATGTTACGTCGAAGGCCATATCACATCACGTGACAACACATCTAAAGCCAAGTAATCAACGCGAGCAACGCTGGGTGTGTCGGTGCGGGAAGGTTTTCTTGTTTTTTGAACACCAAGATGACCAAGATACAAAACATTTAAGGGCCCGTTCACACTCTTGTGACCTCTTAGAACAGGTTCCTTGAAACTTCTTACAATCAGAGCTGAGCCGTATATGGGGAGAGTTTGGCCAGTCTATGATCTTGCTGCCGTAACTATCTCCTCCCGAGTAAGCCAATCAGCATGAGGCGCAGAGCGAGAGGCATGAGCGCATGCACGTGAACTCCCGGCTGCTCCCAGCTGAGTGGGAAGGGCCGCCATTTTCATTCGTCTCCGGCGGAATGCGTGGGATCGGCACCTAAATCTCGATGATTGGCTTTTATATCGCTGGCTCTGGCAAGAAAATGACATGCTGTTATTCCTCGGTGGGTTAAAAAGCTAATGAATTAAGATTTTTCGGCGTATGGCCACAAACTTTTATTCAGGCGAAAAAGAAGTCAGCCCGTAGCAGACGACGCGTAGCCTGGGCAGTGCTCTTCTCTGACCAGTCTCTGACAGCGTTGCGAAAAAATGGCGATCGTCTCTTCTCTGCTCCCTTCTTTCTCTCGCTCCTTCGACGCTCTCCTCCCTTTCATTTACTTTTCTCCTCTCCGGCGCCTTCGTCGCCACACTCACTGGCCAAACCTTCCCAATATACGACTCTGAACCAGAGAACAAACTGGCGCCATCTATTGGGTAGCAGTGTAAACTTGGCGGTCCGGCGTATTTTTATTTCTCTCGCGCATTATCCTTTCTTTCTTGGCTCGAAAAACATTTGTCAACGGTATAAACGAGCCTTTCTTATAGGTATTACGCACACTTGACCTCGGAAATCCCGCAAAACCTTCGCTTTTGTGTGTTCCCTCGTCCTAAGAAATTTTAAGAAGTTTTAAGAGATCTCGTCTCTTTCGGTCGTACTCGGTTGCAAAAGGCTTAGCCTTCTTCCCTATCAGATAATCTGGGAAATGTCTAGAACACACCACAGTGGAATCGGAGATATCTGGGGTTCGTGGGAAAGTGGAAGAGCGACATACCGTCCGATTGACAGGCGCCACACTTTAAGACGCAGCACCTCCTCATTGCACTTTTGCAGGCGCTACGATGCCCTCGGTGGAAGTACGACTGTCGAAAACTCAAGAAAAACACACAGTGCACAAGCTGCTCGTTGTTAATTATCAAGTGAACGCGCTACAACGCGCGTTCATATGACGCCGATCTACCCCAAGTGTGCGTGAAAGACGGGAGCATGTTCGTGGTTCTGAAACCCACTGCTGGAGCACGTCCTATCTCGTTGTTTTGCGGCAGCGACGTTCGACTTCACATTTAAGTAAGAACCGCAAAACGTTCGACCATATCCCCGGGAATTCACGACAACCACGGCAATCAAAATCACGCGGGCTATGGTTCAAAATCCTGGATTGGATTGTCTAGTTTTGTTTCTTATAAAGTCTAAATGCTCAGTCAATAATTTAATAGCTAGAAAAAAAATAGCTGACAGAAAGTGAATGTTAATTGCTACATAGAGCAGAAATTATGGCTGTAGCAGCTGTAGTGCGTTCCCAGGCTGCTCAAGACTTTAATACGTATACGTCGGAGCGTCGGAGGCCGTGGGTTATATCACGTGACAAAACAAACAAAGCGGTTGGAGCAGTTAGAGCCCCTCCTCTATGCCCCTCCTCCACAACCTACAAAGTCAAAAAAAAAAAAAAAAAAAAGTTTGTGAGTTTTGAAAGCTACTGTGACCGTGATTATGATAGTTGACCCCACGAACTAACACGGAATTCCTCCAGAAGCTGATCGTCACACCTACCTCCATGAACGGGTGCGATATCTTCGCGTAGGGGCCCCTCTCACGCATGTTGATTTCGTCTCTGCATGGAAACATATCAAGCAACAAGGTCAAAATTCGTGTCTCGGCTGTCTCAGCTCCAGCTTTCTCCAGTGCTCGGCGTATGAGGGAATGAGGCAAGAAACCAAAGCAGCTGAGACGGGTGATTGACAACCACGGATCATGGCGGCTGCAACGCAGGACGGCAGCCGTGAGTGCTTCGTTTATCGCAGCGTCTCGGTCACTCGATCCTCATACCATGACCTCTTCCAAATAGGCGCGAATAGCAGATAGCGACGGATTCGGGTTCAGGTTTTGCGAACTAGTAGCGCTGATGTAAACAGTGTGCTGCGTGTACGCGTAAAGTTGCAGTTGTGAAGTGGTTTCTGATTATTCCGCCCCTTGCTGGGGTTTAGATTCAGATGTTGGTTTGGCTGACACGCTGTTTTTGCCAGTGGGTACCGTTTTAACTTGCCGCCAGTGTGTCCAGTCTGATGCTACAAATGCGAGATGTGACCTTGAAACTGGGGGAGGGTGAGATTCGCCAGTTTATAAAGGGTCGGGGGCAAGAAAGTTTTGGGTCTGTCTGTCTGTCTGTGTGGGTGTGTGCGAGTGGGTGGGTGGGGGGGGGGGGGGCGGTTAACTGTCGGCACACTTCACCGTATATATATATATATATATATATATATATATATATATATATATATATATATATATATAAAAATAAACTGAGTGTCTAGAGTTCTGTCCAGACGAAACAGTAGCAGGTGCGGTACAGAGCCGTATATGTAGAGAGTTTGACCATTCGTTGGGAAGTATAGGAGACAAATGAGGAGGTGCCATTGGCCGAAAGCGGGCTGGGCGTGTTCCAGGGCGTCTTCAGAAATTTTAATATGACCAACCAGAAGCCGGAAATAATACCCTGGTGGTGGTCGCGAGAAACAAACCTGATAACTGCATCAGAGTAACTCTCAATGGCTGAAAATATGGTACACGTGATGTTTCAATCATGTTAATTCAAAATGATGGCGGAACCGTGCGACTAGTGGAACGATCGACATGATCCATACGCCAAGCGCCCAGGGCCGGGAATCTGCCGTCCGATTGGTCACACTCTGTCCGCGCAAAACAGAGTTGCGCAGCGCGTTCGTTTCTTACATCTTTTTGCATGATCATGATCAAAACGACACGTGCACCCTATTTTCAACCACGAAGAGTTAATACACTTCACTCTTACGCGCTTATTAAAACCATATACGAACATAGACTTTTGATCAGAACTGTTTGCCGCTACCACCACTAGGGGATTCTTTTCGGCTTCTGGTTGGTCAAGAGAGCATGCCAAGCCCTCTTTCCGACTCGGCCGCACGCCCTGACTCTGCCGCGCCTCCCATTGACCAAACTCTCTACATATACGGCTCTGGTGCAGTAGAGTTCCGTCCAGACGGAACGATAGCAGGCCCAGCAGAGTTTAGTCCAGTTCAGTTCAGTGCGAACCTAATTACAAAATTATGCGCTGCAATCAAGGAGAAACGTTGTGGGAAGTTGAGAAAGAGGGTGCTCCTTCATTACGACAATGCACCCAGCCTGAGGTCTTGCATTGGAATGGTTGTCATTCCAGTAACAACAAACTAAAAAACGAAAAAAACATCTGCATGGGAGGAGATTTTTAATGTTTATACAAGGTAAAAGAGGCCGGAGATGCGTGGTTTGCAGAAATTGGACAAGCTGTTTTCCAGGAAGCAGTAGCAATGTTATAGGATTGCTATGACAAGTGAATTCAACTTTAAAAAACGACAATTAAAATTAACATAGGAACATTGCCAGTTGTTTCTCTGGAAATGGTTTAGAGGTGGAGCATATAGGCATCAACCCCCGTGTATGCTGGATGGAGCTTCAGTGGTGCATTTCTCTTCCGTCTGGACGGAACTTTAGCGCTGGCTATAGTTCTCTCAGGGCGGAACTCTAGTGGCGACTGTCGTTCCGTCTGGACAGAACGCTACAGGGTTTGCTAACTTTCCGTCTGGACGGAACTCCAGTGGTGACTACCAGTTCCATCACGACGTACTGTAGTGGTTCCGTCTGGACGGAACTCTAGTGGGGACAATTGTTCCGTCTGGACGGAACCCTAGCCACGGCCTAAAGAAAAGGAAACTGATTATTCAGCGCTGACATTCTGACATCTGTGGTCCCCTGCAGCCCTTCAGAAAACGCTATTGACATTCAACAACCATCAACTCTCGTTTTTCGTTGGACCATAAAGTCTTTCCGGTGATGACCCTCATGGCCTAGTGATAGTGAGAAAAATACATCAAATTAGGAAGGGAGGAGTCGTGTTTGGGTTTTGTACACCATAATTGGAACGGGCTACCACATGTCACAACGGGTAAAATCATTAATATCCGTCCATAACTATCAATGGCTTACCTGCAGAGGCTTATTTGCCTCTGCATCGCTAAACTCGAATCTTTGCGTCGTTATCCATCTCATTTCATAACACACGTGCAAGCCCTTGTGTTGGAACTGTGGCATAATGTTCCGGCTTACGACAGGTGACATGTGTCTGACCGGTCCCACGGGTAACGTGCTCGCTTCGTCCTCCTCGGCTGCCCCAGAGGAGATCCTGCCTACCCCAGCAGACGGAGGCATCTACTCCGACGACTGCAACCGAGCATTCCCCTCCAAGCTTCACTGGGATAACACTTTCACAGTGAAAGAAGGTAGTATCAACTGTCATTTCCATCATAGCTCTACTGCCACAGAAATGTACTGGGCAGTCTTTTTAAAAAAGAAAAAAAAAAAACAGACTTAAAGAGAAGGAAAAAAAGGCTGTGAAATATACACTAATGTCATGTGTGCAGGTGAGTTATACGGCCAGGGGGACATAGCATAGGGCATTAGTCGTCACTATATATTAACAATAATTTGGGGATTAACTTCTTAATTAGTGAAAATAAATGTACGGCTGCTATTAGAAACTTGCTCAGTGTCATTGATAACTGCACGTGGGAGGCACAGGGGTGTGCCGAAGTTACCACTCGGGGAGCGCGCGGAAAAATGACAAAGCAAAATGTGAACAAGTTTATCGTTCACATTGTTTTCTACAATTTACTGATTTTGTAGTTTTTGATGACCCCAGCACGTTTCTAAAAAAAAAAACCATATGTTTATTTTCACTAATTAAAATGTAAATTAACAGATTTAGTCAATTATCTGACTTATCGTGACGACTAGTTCAGATGTGCCCATTAATGTGTTAAACTAATTTCGGGGCATATCGGTGAATATCAAAATTTCTCTGGAGCTACCCCTTTAACTGTTCGACACTGTTTCGAACACAGAGCATGGAGCTAGCGCGCAACCTTCCTGTACATTTCTTGTGGCAGAGAAGAGGAGTCTGTCGCTTAGACCAGCTCGTAGTGGGATGATGCCGATGGCTTGTCCTCCCCCACCGTGCGTCGGAATGTGGGCCGACCAGCCTCTGTTGTGGCGAAGGAAGGCATGCTCCCTTCATGCTGCTACCCGTGCTTCTACGGAGGTTACAAAACTATAATTGAGCAGGGATATGGAGGTTGCACAGGGAAGGAGCAGCAATCTTTTTATCACTGCTGTTATGGAAAGCCATTGTTGCGAGATTCGATTAGAAAAATATCAAGCTTATTTATGCCTAGTTACTGCAGTACTGTCTCTTAGGCCAGAGGGGGGCAAGGTTTCAACAGGAGTCGCAAGACCCCAGGCAAATATAGGAGGTAAAAACATCAACGTTCCAACTCTTGACAGGAACATTTGATTCTTAATTGGCGGCGTGGAGCAGAAATGCCAAAGGCAGAGCTACAACACTTGGGCTGCACTTGCACCATCGACATACGCACCAATGACAAAGTAATGTTTTGAAATGTCGCTAGTGTCTTCACTCCATTTACTTCCACTCTAATTTTCACAGCAGCATCAGAGTGGGACGCTGCCATGTTTAGAGAAAGACCGATATGCTCATGGGAGGTGACATAACTAAAGGAACCATGGGAAGCTATTTTCACTTTGGCTAACCAGTGTTCGGTATGTAGCCAGTTCACACTCTTTGAGCATAAAACTTTATTCACCGGTTTGCCAATTCGCTGGTTTGTAAAAGGTGCATTTATGGAACTTATGCTTTCTTTGTTCCTTGATTCTGTGTTCTTCCTTCTGCAAAAGGAACAAAGAAAGGATTATCTCAACACGGGATAATCAGCTTGGCTCGACTTTCCAGGGGTCAAACATGAGAGCCATTCGGGATAACGAGCTTGGCTGCACTCTTCGGGGGTCGATTGCAAGGCGCCATTTAACGGGCCAGGCTGCCGCAGAAAATGTACTTTTTTTAAAGCTCCCAGTAGGCCGTGCACATTCCTGTATGCTCCTTGCCTTGAAAAGAGGGAGAGGTAACACCGTTGTTTGCTTGGCCTTTCACTCACCTTCGTATTTTCTGTCGTCTGCTAAACCGGTTCTCAATAGAGCGTTCCTTCTATTCCTTTCAGCGCCTTAGATGGCGCAGCATGTGTTGCAATGGATCTATAACATTGCTTTGGAACACGGCATGTCGCATGGTGAACCGAAATCGTGTGCGGAAGAGAAGTGTCGTTCACTTCTTGCTCTTGTCTTCCCATTGTGGGTGGTCGTTGATCTGGGGTAAACGATCGTATCTTCCTCTTCGTGTTTCATCAGAAGGCAGAGGACAGAGAGTTTTGTGTTCCTGGTTTATCAGAGCCGATCGAGTTCCCACCTCCCTGGTCTGTCGAGGACCGTGGTCTTGGAGCCCCCGACTGCATGTCCTCGTTGCAAGGGCAGGCGGAGGGACGCTGTCGGAACTGCTTTCTGCACGAGACCCATGGCAAGTTCCCGCTCATGTCCCGCTCTTATTATGGATTTTACAGTCAATGTTTTGGGTGTCACAAATCCTCTGAGCCTTCACTTAAAGGGGCAACACAACAATTGTCTTTTTAGTAAATACTGCTTACAATTATTCCTTGGCATTCATAGCATATAAATAGAAAGATGCGTTTTCGGTTTTTATTTTTCAAAATTCGGCGTACTTTTTTCGGTTTTTATCTTTCAAAATTCGGCATACTTTTTTCAGTGTTTATTTTAAAATTCAATTTTTTTATTTTATTTCGGTTTTTCGAAAAAAAATTTATATTTATTCTTGAAAATATAAAATATATATATATAATATATAAATTATATATATATATTATATATATAATTTTATATATATAATATATATATAAAATATTTATTCTCGAAAAAGTTCACCGTTTTTTAGTTTTTTTTCGGTTAATATGAAACGGATGGGCAGTATTTCAAATACAAGTATTTGAAATACATATTTCAAATACTTTTTTTTGCATTTGTATTTAATTATGAATTGGGTAATGTATTTGATGTGTGTATTTAAATGCTAAAATGTAGGTATTTCAAATACAATTGTAATTAAATACAATTTTGTGGGCGAAAATACATCCCTCAAATTTATTGTCCCTCTCCAGAGCAGGAAGAAAACTACGTTCTGCACCGAATGCAGTGTCTCTCAATCAAGCACAAGCGTTTAGTGACTTTGTGATTACGGTGCTAGTCCAGGGCAAGAATAGTGACGAAATCGACGTTCACAGGCAGACTGGCTAAATAAGTACATGTGACAACTTGTGATGCTTTCCAGCCTGATTTCCATCCATATTTTTACCTGAAACATTCTAAATGCGAGGGTCGTCCAGATTTTCGTAACTGGTGCGAGTTGCAACAATAAAAAATTCTTTAGGTAGTGCTGCGCCTCTCGGTCGTCTCGGTTCTTTGTTGGTCTATACCAAAATGTAAAGAACAAAAAAAAGCTGCTTGAAGCTCTGTACTTTTTTCACCTATTACGTCCAAGCTGATTACATGTTTTTGTGATTATATTTCTAGTACGTTACTGGAGCCTCGCACACTAACTCCTGAGTGTGCGATGCAAAATTAAAATGAGATAGATACCCAGAAACCCGTTGCAGGTGCCCTGAAGTCGCTGACGCGAATTTTGAGGAATGTATTTGGAAAAGTATTTGGAGGAGACCAAATACATTTGGTTGTATTTGTATCTTGTATGTAAATTTTTTTTTTTTGGAAATGTAATTACCGTAATATTCCGAGTCATCGCCCACCCCCCTACCGCCTGAAATTCTTTAAAAAAGTGGGGTGGGCCATGTCTCGGTGGGTGAGCACAAACACTTGAAAAAAAAAGCGGAAAAAACCGCCTATTTTTCTCTGCGTATCTAGCGCTGATGCACAAGAGGTACATCAAACTCAAAACTCGATTTAGTTTCATTGTTTTTATAGAAAAAAATACTCACGAAAGAATATTTTACTATAGCGAAGTCCGTTGCTTGCATACGCGCTAGAAACACCGCCGATCTGCATATAGCGCGAACGTTTGTTCCGTGAAAGAATGTCACCATTATGTTCTCCTAGTTAGTAAAAAAAAAAAAAAAAGAAAAGAAAAAAGAAAGAAAAGTTTACAGGAAAATAGAAAAACCGACCAGGCGCAACGAGCGAGCGAGCGAGCGGACCGAAGAAGCGACCAAGAGCAATGCTGGGAAAGCGGGAAAGCCGGCGGTCGCGTTGGCAAATACTTTGGCGTCGGGCCAAGTCGGGCGCCTTGTCAATTGCAAGCTCTTGCGCAACTTGTTTGCTCCGTACATACGTGCGTCCGTGCACGGTTAGGACGCTCTGCAAACGTCTGTGTAGGATGTTCCAGCAAAGCTTTATTTACGCTTTGGCTTTGCCTAAAATATTGCACAACCGCGGTCGCGACGGGCGGGAAGAAGGAGCGGGTTCGCGGTGACCTTACTTCGGCGGAGACAGACTTTGACCTAACACTCCGCGGTTACGTTAACAAACTCTTCTTTTGTTATCTCCATCGTTTTCTTTTCGCACGGATACACGACCACTTTGGGGTCGCTCACGGAGGAAATGCGGAAACAAAAAGAAGTGTCTTTCCCTCCTTCGTTTTACTTTGTCACGGACGTCCTCCAACTGTAAGGTCCGCGGCCGCGTCATTCGGGCAGAATTAAATACATTTTTGACGAAGTATTTTGTATTTGTATTTCGATATATATTTGCATGTATTTTGCCCATCCCTGATATGAAATAACACCATCGGACACCGGATCCTAGTAGCTGTAATATTTGTGATCACGCAAAGAATAACGACGCATATACGCATATCTTCGCTACAACTTCAGTCAGGACACACTTAAGAATTGCAGAATTTGCTGGCAATATCTTTAGCGTGCTTCTTTTTCCTTCCCATTCTGACGACGTGACCCTCTGAGGTGATGACCGTACAAGAACCAGCGGAATGAGAAAAAATATTCTATTGAATTCACGTTCTTAACCACAGAGAAGTTTAAGGGAGGGTGTTAAGGAAGGTATTGACAGCTTTCCTCGATGTCCTCTGAAGTGCATGAAGCGAAAAACCTTATAATAGCCCACATCCAAACTTTTGTTTTGGGACCGGGGACTTGACACACTAAGCCCGATCGCAGAAAGGAAACAGATGTCCCGCGAAGACCAATCCAAGACCTCTTTTGTTGCATATTGAACCTTGGAAGAGGGCAATCACGAAGACGTCACACAATGTCGGACCTTGCAAAGCCCCCCCTCTCTCTCTCCCTCCCCTACCCACCTCAACGCGACCCTAAAAAACTGTTTTTTTTGTTTTTTTTTTTCGGTTAAAATCGAATTTTAGATAACGGATTAGACATACTTTTATCGGTTTTTATCGGCTTAAACCGAAAACGCCGAACCTACAAACTGACATTTTTCGGTTAAAACCGAATTTCCGAAAATGAATTTGGCATACTTTTATCGGTTTTTATCGGTTTAAACCGAAAACTCTGAACCCTACATATAAAATACACGAGTTCTTTTTCTTTTTTCTCCACGCAATGGCAGTCGAGCAAGAGATTAAGAAAAACTAGCAGCATTCACTCCCTTAACTTGTAGCAAGAGCGTGTGGCCAGATGGCCTAGAGCCACTTACATGCCGCCAGTGTTTATCGTGGGTACTTGCCGGGGTTGGTAAAGCACAGAGCACTTGCCGTGTTTTACTCACATTAAAGGTTCGGCCATTTCGTTCGTCCTGGCGATTGGGCATGAGGGCACGTCGAGGCATTGATTGTCGCGACCTCAAATCAATTGCTTGCACGATGCTCTCGCCCACTCTACAAGCCACTACACTACAAGAACTCTCCGCGAGGGTCGCAAAGCTCGACGACGAAATCCCACAGATCACATTGTCGACGACGCCAGCAATGGGTCCCCAGAACTTTGTTGTCGAGTTTTGCGAGAGAGTCCGAAAGGGTCTTTTTCCGACCCATTAGAGCAGGGGACTCCAAACCCTGGTCTGCGGCGGCCTTTCGTCAGGCCCGCGGGAGGCCGTGGTCTTTCCAGTGACCCGTGGCCCGTTGCTACCAACGCAAAAATAGACGCGCATAAAAAAAAAAAAGAAAGAGAAGAAACACTGAGTTGCATGCTAAAACCGTGAACAAAGATATCAGAATGAATGAAAGAACTCGTCAAAATGTGGGTTCTATCACCATAATATTTATTGTACATTTTCATCACCCTCTTTCACGTCTGTGGAACTATTTTGAAAAATTTTTTTCGCTTTCATGTATATTGTGTTTAGTGAGCTGTTTTGAACTATTGCTTTTGGCAGTTATCAGATCTACCATTCTTATTGAATTCCCGTCCTGTGTGAATATGCCAAAGTTCCTACGCGCCAGGGTTGGGCAGAGATACTCTAAAATGTATCTGCAAATCCAAATACGGGGATACGTGACGAAGACAGCTAATGTACTAATATTGAAATTCACCCGTACTAAAGTATGGCGATACATATATATGAAATACATTCGAGAAATAAAGAAGTATTTGGAAATAGAAATATAGCAATTCTAATTTTTCCGGGTCCAGTAACACTCGCATGCATTTTCCTTTCAAAAAAAGCTTTTTGTGCAATGTGAACTCTTGTATTACCGTCAAAAAGTCACTATTTGGAAAACAAAAATGAAACAACCTTTTGCTACATATTATTTTTTTGTTATATGGAAGCAGTACCACACAAAAATATATTCAATGAAAAATAGCTTTTTAAAGAGCTCGTTGGTCAGCTGCTGCCGATTTGGGCGACGAGTCATGTTAGCGAAAAATCTTATGCGTTCCACAAGTGTCAACGAACACGGGCTTATAATAAAACAAATGAAGACTGCTTTCACAGTGGGAAAGTTTTAAAACATCCAAATATTATTTTTTAACGTATATGAAGACCTCAGTTGGAGATAGTAATATGTAGGCTTTGTTGACAGGGTTTGTACTTCTAAGGTGAAAAAGAAGTCCTCCAGTAAATTTGTGATTTGATCCGTCGTGTGAATGGTCTGTTACCTGTTTTCGGTAAGAAGTGTGCTCCACGGGGCTAATAGTCCACAGTCGACAACTTTTTTGTTGAATAAATAAGCTTAATTTCGTTTTGAGGTGTCATGTGCTGTCTAAAGAGTCCCCAATGGACAGCTCAATTGGGTGATGAATAAACTTGTATCATACATTTCATCAATGTTTCACGTGTGGCATAGCCGCTTATGTTTAGTAGGCCCGTGTAGAGGAGATAGTCAAATATCTGCTTTGTGTGCATAGCCATCTATGTAACAAATCACAATTTCAGCTTGCATGATATTTAGATGAATTTCTGGTAATTCAGACTTCCGATAACTCAATCAAAATCCGTGGATTTTTGGAGTTTGAATGAATGACAGTCTACTGTATACTGAATTCACTTGACGATAATGAGTCTGCAATAAGACTTGAACAACCCCTTTCTTAAAGCCCGTCAAGCAGCATGGACAGTCGCCATGTTTTGGGTGTGACTTCCAGCGTGTTGTGTGCGATTGGACTTGAGGTCTCTCCGATCCATTGCAGCACTCGAGTCCAGTACCTTCTCCGAGTGCATGCCTAAGCTGTGGCGACCTTCGATAATAGACGCAGCAGCTAATACAAGGCACACGTTTTTTAAAAACTTCTATTACTGCCATGCATAGACTGTCGTAAGCGTAACGAGTTTGCCCTAACGCAATAGTTCTCAAATGGGGTCTTTGAAGGCCTCCTTAAGGGCCCCAAAGCTTTAGACCGTCAGTGAAGCCGAGCAGTAAAACTTCTTTTTCTTAATCCATGGTGGCTGACCCACGAAGCTAAACAGACCCAACCATGTGCACCGGGTGCCCTCGTTTTAGAGTTTCAAAGTTGGTTTGCTGGTTTGCATGCATTCAGTTTTCTTCATTCACACTCTTGGTATTGCAATCGTCCATTACCCTGTGCTCCCTCCCGGTGTAATGGGTTCCCCCATCACTTCTGTTGATCCAGAAGTGGTTAGAAGCCACTGCTCTAACGTACTGCACTTCCCTTGTTTTTGTGTCGATCAAATCATAATGGTAGAAGTGAATTAGAACTTTGTTTCCAGAGGTGACTGCTCTGTTCCATATCTGGCCTCCTAAGAACACGGGCTACGATTCCACTGTATGGCGGTTCATGTGGTGTTTTGTTGTGTCGTCTCCCACGAAAAACAGTTCCCGGGCCGTGCCCTTCTGCAATGCCGGAGGAGATACTGCCCACTCCGACTGGTAGAAGCGTCTGCTCGGAGGACCAAGGCACCCTGTCCACCTCCCAGATGCGCCTGGAAGGACACTGGAACGTTGATGTTGTGGTGAAAGAAGGCAAGCTCCATGGCCATTTTATTGTATGCAGGGTGTGCGCAGCACTTACTGATGGTAGAAAACCCTGCAACATCCCTTGCCTGTTGTTGCTGTGCAGTTTGTGTTCGTCGGTCACCCGTCATCATGATGGTCGGCCCGGGTTGTAAAGCCGCACAGGAGGTTTTTGCCCATGAGACTTGCCTAGAGTTGGCCAGAAAACCTATATACTGTAATGAAATTGCATTATAAATTAAATTGGAGCCGACAATTTATTGATGACTCTTAGTTTTTTGCGAGTTTCCTCAAACCTCATTGCAGTTAAAGTCCGACCTACAGAATCGTCTTCTACCGGGGAAAAAAACGGTTCCCAGTTTCCTTCTCTCCATTTCCATGCGCCCACTTTCCCCCCCTCTCCACACAGGAGCGGATCTCTGAACTCCCGGTAGAGAGGAGGAGGGTCTCCCTCTTTCTCAAATGGAACGGAGGAATTGAGAGAGAGTTTCCTTCTTTCTGCTTGTTGGTCGGCCTTTAAGGGAATTCACAGTCCTTGAATTTCAGCGTGAGATGGCTTAACCCTTTCTGTGCCACATCTATCATAATTAGCCATATGCTGACTAGTTCTTGAAATAAAAATGAATGTTTTGTCCATTTCTTAGGATTCCCCCCTTTTTCCTGTTGTATGGAAGGAGTTAATATGACAAACTTCCTAAAGTGTGTATTGAAATTATTAATTGTAAATTATACCCATAGGGGACAAATGGAACCTGCTAATCGGCACCCAATGAGTAGAATTTTAAAGTCGAAATCGTATGAGTCAGTGCATGGGAGTGTTTGTGGATCCAGTTTATGTGGCGTAAACTCGGACAACACAAACCGTCCAAGCAACATGGACCGTTGTAAGCAACATTGACCACCACCTGTCAATGTTGCTCGCACAAACCCCATCCTCTTTCCTCGGCCTACTCAACAGCAGGTGATTGGCTAATGCTGTGGTGAGCATGCAACGTCCCAGGATCCAGGAATCACTACGTGGCCTCTCCTCTTATTGCCTGCTGTATTTTAGGAGCATACTATATATTTCGGAGTGGAAGTTGCACCAATACTCAGACAATTGTGAGCGTGGCGCCCCGACTGGTACCCCAAGCGTGTAAGCACTTGCGATTTGGCGTGAACGTAGCTTCGGCAAGCTTGCAATGGCACGGGCTTGTCCGCATGAGCAGAGACGTGGCAGCGGCCAGTCGCCTTGCTTGCGATCGTCTATAGGTTGCACCCCGTAAAGGATAATTTTCACCAAAAAAGTTTGTATACCAGTCACACCTTTGTGTATATTTGTATATCTCTATGCTTTTAGATTTCAAAAAGCGTTCGACACTCTGTCTCGCTCTATACTAGTGCAAAAACTTGAAGCTTTAATATTGATAGTGCTATGGTTAACTGGATTAGTGATTCCTTAACTTCAAGGAAAGAGCAGGTTGTAGTAAATGGAACATCTCGGGCCTGGTATCTGTGAGGTCTGGTGTGCCACAGGGGTTCGTCCTGGGGCCACTTCTTTTTCTTGTTTTCGTTAATGATATTTCTTCTAAAGTTCAATCTAAATTGTGTCTGTTTGCAGACAATTGTGTATTGTATAGTAGAGTGTCTAGTGACATGGATTCCACAGAGCTTGTGAGCGACCTTAGATGCATTGAGACAAGGTGTACAAATAAGAGAATCTCCCTTAATGTTAGTAGATGTGTTCATTTAAGCATTACCAAAAAATTAAAGGAGTAAACTTTTCAGTATACTCTCTGCAGTGAACCAATAAGAATAGAATCATTATACAAGCGCAGTGATGTCTCGTTAATATGGACACCTCCGTTCCCCCAAAAATCGTTCATCATGTGAGTTGTTCCTAATAACGAGACAAAAATGAATCTATTTTCCCACCTTGTCCCCAAAAATGGTGTCCATATAGATTGGTATCTGTATTAGTGGGGTCCATATTAACGAAGCATGACTGTACTGTCGAGACTGGTTATAACAAAGTCAACGGGATTAGGAAATCGCTTCGCTATATCTACTTCTTCGTTATATTTGAACTCATACAAATACAGTAAATTTTCGTTAGTTCGACCTTGGTTAATTCAACTTTTCATTTACTTCGGCCGTGTTCAAAAGTCCCGGCAAGTGCGAGGAAGGAAAATGGGAGGAAAAGTTTATAGTTCGAACTCGGGAAGTCTCTGCATCGGATAATTTGTCCCGAGCGAATGCGCGCGGGCTCACATTGCAGGGCACCACGGCAGAAAAACCACCAACGTACGGCAAAACACGGGCCCTTCGCTGCGAAGTCGAACGTGCGCAAATATGCGCCTGCCCCTCTAGGTCGTTGAGATGGACCGTAGCGAATGACACGAGCCAGCGCAACCAATCTGGCGTGGAGTGGCGCGGAGAACATAACACGTGGTCAGGCGTGGAGACAGCACGTTCTCTCAAAACGCTTTTCTGTAGCATCGTGTGCGGTCCATCTTGCACGCCAGAAAACGCAAGATCTCTTTCCTTTTTTTTTTTTTTGTTGTCGCAGGTTTGGTTGTTTGGCGCCAAAGTCGGCTTGTAAAGCATTCTCACGCTCTCAAAGCGCTTTTGTATAGCATCATGTGCGGTCCATCTTGCGCGTGACAAGGCGCGGGTTCTCTTTTCCTTTTTTTTTCTATTCTTTTTTTTTTTTTTGTCGACGGTCTGGTTGTTAGGCGCCAAAGTCGAGTCATAAAACCTACTTTTTTTTTTCTTTTTAGTGCGCAATTTTCTGGGGACGTTACGTTTAGTTGTGCTGCCCTCCCCGGAGCATGCTTTTGGATACGCTTTTTGAGTGCAGACGACAGTGGACCATCCGTGAGTACTTTAGACAATAAAAGGAAGCTTAATTTTAACAGCTTTTCTGTCCCTTTTTTAATTCAATCATTTGGATAATTCAACCAAGTTTCAAGGTCTTGTCGAGGTCGAATTGACGAAAGTTTACTGTAACATGAAAAAAAATGACACAAATGTCACGGACACATGTCTATTGAGCCTGCAGAAAGCGGTCAAGTTTCCCTGCACACGTCCTCTGCTAGATCTGAGCCGCTTCTCTCCAACTGCGAGAAGCTCTGATCGAAAAAAGATTTTGCTATAGTGGACGGCATTATTTACGTTTATGCGCACACCGTCGAGGATGGCACGCTTTCGAATCAAGGAAATTGCCTTCATCTTCCCCGTTGAGGTGCCAGCGGTGCCGGTACTCTCCACGTTGAGTGGCGATGGTTCACCGAGTCAGTGCTTGAGCAAAGCAGACCTTTGCATAGGAGCGACCTCACCGACCAGACGCCGACACGGATCACAAAGCAAAGGAAGAAGCGCACACGGCACCGAGTTCGCGCTCAAGCTTGTCTGTCGTCAGTATAGAGAGCTTAGATTTAAGAGATGGGGCAGCCGCTCTATCGGGGTCACGTGGTTTGTGGGCCGCGTTTGCAAAATGAGCTGCAGCATGCAAGGAGTCAAAACTCGAAAGTGTTCACCTTCTGCAAACGTGTTCGCCTCTCTGCCCAGTTTCCTTGCCAAACTGGCCACGCGACAATCAAATGCAGACGTACTTACTGCTCCCTCTCTTTTATCTAGGATCTCTCCGCCATCTCCGCCAGTACGTTGTCGCCAGCGCCCCGAACACCCCTATCGGCATGCCACAACGGCTTCTCCGCGTGTGGTGTGGTAAAGCCGCTTCCCAGATAAAGAGCGGGGAGCAGACAACGTTGCAGAGACTGCCGCCGGCGGCCTTTCCAGCATCTTCTGTAGCCTGTTCTGGGTGGCTTCTTGGCCGCAGCAGCGCAATGTGCGGCGATCCGAGACTTAGTAAACTCTCAGAATTTTGTTCTTTTTTAAATTATTACAAAATTCATCTTCGCTATATCCACGGGAGTTGCACAATTTCCCTCGCTCAAAACAGACAGAAATGCAGTGGAAAAGTGCAAACTCGTGATCACTTTGCTGTAGCCGCTATTTCGTTATAACTGACTTCGTTATAACCAGTCTCGACAGTATTTAGGTGTGATATTTTATGTAGACTGTTTATAGTCAGCACAAGTAAGCAGTGTAATTGGGAAGGCAGGCAGGTCTCTTAGGCTTTTGCAGCGTAACCTCGAGCACGTTAGTAGCGAGGTTAAAGAAGCTGCCCATCAAGCATACCTTAGGCCGATTCTGGAATATGCTTGCCCCGTGTGTGATCTGGTTTACCTTATTTACGTCAGTGCACTTGAGCGCATTCAATCTGTTGCTGCTCGGTTTGTCCTGGGGAGATACAATCGCTTTTTCAGCTTTTTTATTTTATTTATTATAATCAAACAGAAATTTCTGCCTCATTATACTTACAACAGCCAAATTATATCTCATGTTGAACAGATCGTTCTTGCCAGGTTCGACCTTATGCCGCCAAAACAAATCTTTTTAAGCACTCATTTTTTGTGCGTACTATATCAGAGTGAAATTAGTTACCAGCAGAAGTGGTGTGTCGCGAGAATGCCGATTTATTTTATACTACAATGTGCCTCCCGCAATAATGCTTGGAGGTTCTCCAAGTTTTTGCTGAATAAAAAATAAAATAAAAAAAAAAGAATCACACTTGCATGGGTCCAAGACTTTTGCTTCCACGCTTCGTACCAAAGTCATCGGCGGGTGCTCTGCTACCCTTTCTTTGGCGGAAACGGTTTGGCAACGTTGGTTCGGCCTACATCCTGCACAGTTAAGGTCAATGTGGATTAAAAAACAAAACATAAGTCGCACCGTTTGAGAGGAAGCACCGGCAGAAATTTGGGTTAGAAATACTCGACTTGTACGCCATAAAATACGGTGCTTAGAAGCAACCAGGCACACGGTATGCTTGTGAGTGAAGTGGCTAGGCTGGTTTACTAGAATCCGCTGTTAGAAAGTGCGGTTCAGTTTTTGCACCGTTTCAAAGATGGACAGCATTTTTCATGTGCAACATTCTGGCGTCATTTTTCCTTGCAGAACCGGAAGAGGCGTATGCCCCCTCCACCTGTGAGGGCTCATGCTCCGAAGCTGCTGACACACCGTTTTCTTATCATGACCAATTGGATGGAGGCCTGGCAGACAATGTTGTGGTGAAGGAAGGCAAGTTCGTTTGGCCTCCCCTGCCGCCACTCTGGGCACTACATGTCAGCGACGTTTGTCGGCTGCCAGTCGACGACTGGCAGCCGACTGGCAGCAGTACAATGATCATTTGCTTGTCAGAATACCGTCGAGACCGGTTATAAAGAAGTCAGTTATAACGAAATAGCGGCTACAGCGAAGCGATCACAATTTCACCTTCCCTTCTGCACTTCGTTATAACCGGTCGGTTATAACGAAATAGTGGATATAGCGAAGTAATTTCCGATTTCCTTTGACTTTGTTATAACCGGTCTTAACAGTAATATTGAAATTTTTCTTACTTGTGTTGGTGGTTATGTGAGTAGTCTGGTTGCTCTTTGCAGTTAGTAAGTCATTATTAAAGGCCGGTTTGCACATGTATCGCAGTGCTTAAATAACATTCGGTACAGTGCTGATGCAGCATTCACTTGAAGGTAACTAGTCACCGATAGCGTGGAGGTAGTCTTGTAGTGTATGTGTGAACAAGTCTTTTGTTGTTACTGTTGTTTTCATGCCCCCCATAACATCTTTGTTTATGTCGCAGACTTCAGGCTCAATGTAGCTTGAATCAATATATAGTCGTCGATTGATTTTTTGGACTTCGTGGGGGCTGAAAAAGCGTCCGAATAATAAAGCAGTCCGAAAAATCTGCAGATTACAAAACTTCCGGCTTTATCGAGCCTAAGCTTGCTTAGAAAGGTCGCAGGAGTACCTTGTGTCATAGTTACTCCCAGGAGGGAACATGTCCTCTAGCATTCTTGTCAGCGTTGTGTCCTGACCCGGCAGAAGTGAAAGAAGAGGCCATTAGGTCCAAAGCACACATCGATGTAGGGCAAAACGACGAAACCACGAGACATTTAGGTGTGAAGTTTAGAAGCTGTCAACAGGGCACTCCAGACTTAACAAATGGCGACTGGCACGAAAACAGAACAAAAGGTTTGTTGGAGATGGAAAGTCGACCAAACAAAGAGACCGAAACAATGATGATGACGCGTAGCAAAACCAAAATGCATAGCATTGCACGCCTAGCTGCTGGTTCGTCAGCGCTAAAGTAGTGCTGCCAAACCTATCCAATCCATCTGAAACATCAAGCCAAGCGCACGGTCAAGCCAGTGAAATATCGAAGGTGGCAGCGTCTTGGCGGCCGCCACTTGTAACTATTTTTGTCCGAAAAATCGATCTTTGGAACTGCAAACTGTCTGAAAAATTGGTTGTTAATATACACTGTTTCATTTGGGTGAGTCGATGACAAGTCGATGTCCGAAATAACATGCAAGTTTCAATTTTCGGCATCTGAAAAATTAGTCGGGAACTGTAACTAAATAAAGACTCTCATTCTGAGCCCTGTAATAAAAAAAAAATGTAGAAAAATATCTTAAAAATATTTTTCATGTTTGCTCTTTATAAAAAAAGTGTTTTATGTCAAGCTCAGCATAGCGTGAATTCCGGAATGAATGCCCTCCCGCAGTGGAAAGATAGAAAATGAAAAATGTGGAGGTGAAATAATTTAGTGTTTTGCAGCACAACAGTTTGTCCAATGCGGAGGGCAAGTTCGTCTCCTTCTTGCGCAGGGGTAGCGGTGACGTCAGAACGCCGAGCCCTGATTGGCTGATCGCGACCCCCTATCTGAGCATCGTCTGCTCCTTTGCAACTTCGTCTGTTTGCAACGTCGTCCACGTCTGTCTTACCTTTCCTGCGACTTTCGGAACGATCTTACGCCAAAAATGTGCGTAAGACAGAACTTAAAAACGAATTCGTATTCACGAAACGAAATTTTCATAAGTTTTGCGCAGGTTACGACGAAATCCTACGACAGCTCCAAAGCTCGCATGGCCGACAGCGTCACGGTCACGACGACCCACGGACGTTTATTTTTCTGCGTGCGCTTCTCACGCGTCCCGACTTCAAGCAGCAAGAAAAAAGCAAAAAGTACTTGAAACGGACCACGACGAACAAGAACGCTGGATCCACAAACGCCCAGGAAAAGCTCCAATGGCCACGATTCCACCGAACGCGACCAAGCGAGCTTCGGCAGTTAGGCCTAGCAGGCACTCCGCGACTCGGCGACCGTCTGCCCACGACCGGCTGGCGTGCTGAATGGAATATGCCCACGCTACCGTTGTGAATTCTTCCCGTATTATACTTTGATCGCTGACCTCAATTTTAGATTAAAAGGTCAATTTCTTTCTCTTGTTATCTCCTTGTTTTCCGAGGCAACGGTGACTCTCGCTGGTGAAAAAGCGGTGAATCTCCAACAGACGGAGGAAAGGTAAAGCAGCCATCGCTTTGACTAGCAGACGTAAAGCAGACGACGTTAACTGCGCCAACCCGCCGACGCCGTTAAAAATTGAGGAGTCTCGCCGCACACGAAAGGAGAGAAAAAGTATTTGGGAGGGAACTTGTGGACACTAACACGCTCACCTCTCGGTTCTTAGCAAACAAACCTCGGCGCCTCAAGACACCTCGCCACCTTTGACTTCCCTCCTTGATGCGCGTCTGCTAGTTGTTAGACAAAAACAACGTACCGCTCGAGTTATTTCGTCTGCCTTCTCTGAAAGGTGAAGTCGAGCTCGCTTGTAAAGTCGCAGGAACGGTAAGACAGACGCAGACGACGTTGCGAGCAGACGACGTTGCAAAGGAGCAGACGACGCTCAGATAGGGGGTCGCGATCAGCCAATCAGGGCTCGGCGTTCTGACGTCACCACTACTTCCTTTCTCATCCGCAGAAGACGAAAATGAGCCCACTTGCAAGGCGTATAATGAAAAAAAAAAAAAAAGTATAGGCACCTGTTACAAACTTGCACAAGAGGGGAACTGATACCGCAGATTACGAGCATTTCAAACTCGCGTTTGTGGTACTCTTGACTGTTTTCATGCATTGGTGAAGAAAACGCGGTATGTAGGTGTCTATCGATCGCCATCTCTTCTGTGTTCAGCATGCGAGGCAGTGGCCATGATGCAACGGCGTATGCGCAGAAGGCCGCACATATTTGATTGCACGCGCCATTGAATTGGGTGGTGGCATGCCCCATCACCTTTGCCAGTCTTGACCAGGTGGCGCAAGCTGTCACCCAATTCACCGGCGCATGTAACTAAAGGCTTGTATTCATTCATGCGCATGCCGACTTTTTGATTCTTTTATTTTTTTAACTGCGCATTACAATCAGACGTGCGAAAGGTTAGCGCAGGCCTCAAAGCTTTGAACACCTAAATCATCTTTATAGGACCTCGAGGATCATGAATATCGAGATTATTTTTACAATTTGGTGCACGGAGTCTGATTTTGAAAGCACCGGTGAAGCACATCCTTCCCGGAGCATTCAATCACTAAAGGAGCTTTCAGAATCTCCGCTCTTGCCCATTTTCAGCCCCTATCAAAGCTGTGCATGTGCACTCTTGCTATTTTCAGTAAGGTAAGAAAAAGATGTCGCCACTGGTGTCAGTGCGGGGGAATATACCCGGCTAGCTTACAATTGCGCGCGCTGCCCATGCGAGACTGGTGCTTCGCGGCCGAAGGATCCTTACGTGACGTAACGGCTGGTCGGAGATTTTTTGTATTTCTCGCGTTTAGTGACATCTTCGGGGAAACGAACGTGATATTCAGATTAAGGGATAAGAATACTGAAGCATTCACCTCAAGCTCGTTTTTTTTTCAAGAACCTCTTTAGCTTCCCTTTAACCAGGAACGTGGCAACTCGAAGCCCCATTGGATGTCTTGGGTGTTTTTCACTTTACAAACGTTTAGTTTCAAAAACATTAACATTTTTCTGGGGTGGGCCTCCATTCTGGACCTTATGGTACACGTTCATATTTTCATCCATTTTGGAGAGCATCACTCGAATTAGATCGATTGAAATTGAATAAACACGACTTTGTTTCCAAAAACCACTCCTCCTCCGACCTTTTCCAAGTCCATACTCCTGTTCATTTGCCCGACATGTTTTACTGTGTCTCGTTCGGTGGTAGACAGCCCTCCTTTATTTGTGGTGGTTTGCAAGGTTTGTGTGCTGTTTTCCTCCACAGAAATGGAGGAGACACTACCTGCTTCCACGGGTGAAGGCTTCTGCCCCGAGGACAACAATGAAATGTCCCTTTCCTTGCTGGACCTGGAGGGACATTGCAGCGGCACTCGTGCAGTGAAGAAAGGCAAGCTCAATGGCGGTTGGAGTCCCCACTACTTCATGGTCCCCTCTGATCGCAGCTGCGTGTCTGAAAAAACAAACCCTCTTGGAAGTAGACGAGTAAAAGTTATTTTCATTCTTGGAGGCTGCACAAGATTGGAAGAAGACATTTTAAGAAAAAGGCAAGGATTGTGTTTGTATTGGGACTTGTGGACTCGGGGTACATCACATCATGTGGTCCTCATGATGCAACATGTCTCGTGATAACGCGCTGCATCGCGTGACCACATGGTGGTGCGCCAAGAGTGGCAGAACCGCTACGAAGTGGCCATCTACCAGACTGGCTATACGGGAGTCAGTACAACATCCTCGCATGAAAAAATGTCAACAAAACATGACGCATGACACCCATGACAAAATGTTGTATGAGGGGGAGGGGGGAGAGGAGGCCCCAGCAAATTGGAAGATTTTTTTTTGTGGGGGGGGGGGGGGGGGGTTGCGGTGCGGCTGGGCCCCATGGCCCCTGCCCCTGGCTACGTGGCTGGTCTCATATGATGAAGCCCTCGCGAACTCTGACTTAGTCAGTGCGAAGGCAGGTAGCAGGGTGGAACGGCTGCGCCATTTGCACCATTTCACGCCAGTCGTATTTGTCTGAGCCGTCCTGCGCCATGTTGCAGAAACTGCGCCACAGCCAATATCGTGCGCCATTATGCACCAAATCGCAAAACGTTTGCCAAAACAAATTGCATTTTGTCTTGGTTTCGGTTTTTATCGACTTGGTTGGCAACAATGAGCACATTTAACTTGGTCTGCCTTGCAATCCTTTGTTCTTTTTATTCTCTTTGTGTATCCCGAGTTGGAAGCAGGCGAAAAAACTCGGGGGTTGGATTCCAAGCGGTACACCACCTGCGAATAGATTGTTATTCTTCAACCATAAGCAGTTAAGCAAGTCTGCCGAGGTGAGGTCGAGTCGTTAATCGTCAGATTGCCTGAGGCTCTGCGGCCCAGGATCCGGACGTCAGCCAGTTAAAAATAAATGAGCAAAAGACTCCTTTTAGTACTTCATCGTTAGAAGTTGGAACTGCATTCCGCAAGAAAAATCATGATTTGATAGAACTGAAACGCGGTAGATCTGCTCGGCATACTTTAACGTTGCTCCTGCTTATCGCTTCGAATACATTAACTCCTTTAATCGTAGTCTGCTGCTTCGATATTGAGTTGCACAATAGGATAAACTCTAAATTTGTTGCCCTGTTCCTCCGCGCAACTGCACGTCCGTTGCTTGCTTACGTTACGTGGTTCGCACATAAAATTACTCTGTCGAGCACGTGTGGGTTGCGCGATAAGCAAAGCTGGTTTCCAGTTTGAGCAACTGAAAGCCACTCAGAAAATGTCGAAGGCACTATCTTCAGAAACATATGGTACTTACTTTTTGGTTCTCATTAAGGCTCACAAAGTCTCAAGTTTTCGCATGAGTTACATTGTTATCCCATCTACTTAAGACCCCTAAACATTTGAACGGTATTAGCGCACACGTAAGAAGAAGAGAGAAGAGACAGAAAAGAGCGCTCTTTTCTGTCTCTTCCCTCTTCCTCATACGTGTGCGCTAATACCGTTCAAATGTCTAACTACCAACTAGCCCAGTTATCAACCCTTTTAAGGTCCCTAACCACTCATGTTCATCTGTGCTGCTAAGCACAATTCAAATTGCTCCCGTGCTCGTCTAAGACACAAGCTGAAGTGCAATGAAAACTGGTCTGGGCTGCTCCTAGCCTGCTCCAGAATGTAGTTTTAGCTGCTCCCAATCTGCTCCAAAACAGCTGTTTCAGCTGCTCCCGTCGCTGCTCCCAAGTACCGTATTTGCACGAATATAACGCGAGGGCAGGTTTTGATGCCTTCAAAAATAAAATAAAAATATGTTTTTATATTATAACGCGAACCGAGGCCGCATACATTTTTTGCACTTGAGGACATAGCAGATGTGAAAAGTCAATGGAAATTGAAGAAATATCTTTATGTTTTGACTGCACTCGTCCTCACTGCTTATGTCCTTCCGTTTACAATCTGGCGACTACGCAGATAAGCAGCAGCACGGCACCTGCTTGTCTGGTAGTTCCTTTTTCTTCCGTGCGAGCTCCTCGGCAGCCCACAATCCAAACAAGGCAGGAAGCAGAAGCACCAACACACAAACACCAGATTACTCTGGAGCAGAAACTAAACAATACGCAGGCAGAAAAAAGTCTTAGACTGCTGAATCCGATACACGATTACACTTCTTGTTCTGGTCCCTCTGCATAAACAAATGCCTCGTGTTGCACAATGGACTTCTTCCAAAACCGACGCGCCCCATCGCGGCGAAATACCACGCAGTGCACTCTGGGAACTAGTTGGCCACTCAGTTTCGGTTTCGACTGAGCAGCTTCATCTCATGCTATCACGCCGTGACAGAACGCGCTGCTTGCGTTTTCGATTATCTGACTTTTCACGAACGTACAATACACTCATACTCGAGCGATACAAAACGAAGACCGGGGCACTTTCCTTGGTTCCCGAAACACCGGATATTGTGCGTGCGTATGCGAACGTAGTAAGTCGTGGCTTAGTCACCTCACCCCACGAGTGCATCTTTGAGCTCAATGTCAGTAATCCCGTCTAGTACCAGTGAACTACAACTGAAATTTGTTCGTCTGGAGCCTTACACGCATTTTGTTTGCCAAACGTCCGCTTCTTGTTACTTCATTGGGCGAAAAGCAAGCCGCATCCTCACAGGGTATCAAAGTTGAGGCCAGCGTTTACGCATGAACTTTCAAGGAAACGCAATAAATTCGACCTCACTACTGCACAAAAGTTACTATGATGTCTTCCTCGTGTCATCATATATCTCCCACTCAAATTTTATGCTGATAGAAGATTAACTTTTCGCAAACGCTGAGATCGGCTAGCTACGACGGAGGCCCTAACAAGCGTCCCCTACTCCTCGCTAAGCCTTTTTGGATGAGCTTTTACTGACGCCCGAGATCTGTGCCGGCAACGGTGTGTCTGAAATTATCTCGGCATACTCAGACAGGAAGAAAGCAAACACATAACAAATATTATGGCCATAAGCAACCGTCAAATGCGCTTTGAATTCGTTCGAGCTCTTGTCTGAAGAATGTCGCACCGTGCGCCGGACGGGCATGAACCCCAATGCGATGCGCATAGGGGTTCATGCCCGTCTAACGCACTTCCGGTGAACGGTGCGACATTCTTCACACAAGTGCTCGACTTTTGCATTCTTAAAACGGTCTGTGTGCGCGAATGTGCCTATATGATTGCAGGATAACTTTATGCGCTTACGCGATGTTGAATATTAGTGAAATGCAAGCGGGTGGGGACTTCACTTCGTGCAGTGCTGTGGGTCAGTACAGACAAGAGATAAGAAGTGTGTTAAAATTGAGCTTTTCAATGGCACCTCCGAGTTTTACCTCACATACTCAGGCACATTAAGAAAAACAGTAATTGCAAAAAGAAATATTTCGTCTATGGACGCACGAAGCAAACAAACTTCCTGATCAACAACACTAATGTAAAGGCGCGAGCTCGATGTATGCATACTTATTGTTTGCTACAGCTTGTTGATTCGTACACAAGCAAGATCCCCGAGCACCCGAGCTTCGCAGCGTCGAGACTCCCAGCACTGGCTCGTCCACATATACCTCGATTGGAGCGCTAACAGGAAGGCTCAAGTACAAAAATACAACAAGCATGTGTTAAGACAAGCTATACGTCTCGGGCTTGTGCTAAAGCTTCGAGGTCTGGCCATTTAGGTTAGTTTAGAGACCACAAATGACGCTCTCGGGACCAGAAAACAATCTCTTGTCGACGTGTCGATCGAAACCGAAACCATGCCACCCTCCTCCCTGGCCAACTAGTTCCCAGAGTGCAACGCGCGCCGTGTTGCATGCAGGGCTTTATGGAAGTAGTCTATTGCGTAAACGTGGTTGGTGGTCTTGGCTTGGCTCGTGTTGACTTGACTTGGCCCGGCTTGGCTTGGCTCGAATTGGCCAGCGCCCGCATTCCCGCATGGCGCGCGCTGAGTTTCTTTGGCGTGTGCGCGTTGTACAAACACAAAAGCGATAAAAATGCTTTTTTATGTTTTCTATTCGCCCCTTCAGGTGGCCCAATAGCTAATAAATTCCCTTCCACACCCCCACTTCTTTTCCCACCGGATACTTTGCATTGAGCCGGAGGGATGGCTTTCTCCCCTGGCTTTCTCCAGACTCGCGTGCCTCGTGGCTGAACTCGATTCCGAATATAACGCGAGGTGCATTTTGGAGCACGTAATTTCAAAAAAAAACCAAAAAAACTCTCGTTATATTTGTGCAAATACGGTACATTTCATGAGTTCTACCCCTGAGGTAGCAAAAGTGACGAGAGTGGCGACGACTCTGCGAAAAAGTCAGTGTCCGCTGGAACGGCTCTTGCCGCGGCAGAGACCCTCCGAGACTACTTTGCTGGTGCCGAGCGGCTCGGAATTAAACAAAACATTTTCCTGCACTTCGACGCAATCGAGCAGGCGATTGTGAAGGCATCTCTTACGCGGTATGTATAGTCTCGAATCGATGGCTATTTTAGAAAGCATTAAAATCGCATGCTGAAGCAGCTAATTTCTTGATTTCTTTTTTTTTTTTTTTTTTTTTTTTGAAATCCACATATAGCGCAAAATGGATATAGTGAACCGATTTTAGATTCCTGCGGTGTTCGTTATAAGTGGGCTGTACTGTGTAACTTATTTTTACCCTGCCCTTTCTTGTCTTTTGTAGTCAACAGCATTCATGATCTGTTCTCCTCAACAGAGCCGGAGGAGAGGCTGTCTTCCCCAGCAAGGGACAGCTCCGGTTCCGAGGACCATAGCGATGCTTCCCCATTCAAACGGTGCCCCAAGAAACGCCGCAGCAACGGTCGTGCAGCAAAGAAAGGCAAGCTGAACAGTGACTGGGGTCACCAATTTGTCAAACTATCCACTGTCCCGTAGGATTCCAGCCGTTGTCTATAGTCTGCGACACGTTGAAGGGGCACTAAGGTGGCTTTTGAGATAGTCAGTTTACGGTTGGAACCCAGTCTACAAGCTCTAAGCATTCTAAAAAAAAAAAAAAAAAACCAAGATTACACCGATAAGCATCAGACTCCCCTATCGAAAACAAGATAAAAAATAGCTACACTCCCATTTTTTTGCGATTCGGTGCAGAAACCAGAGGTCGCTATCGGACGCGCAGTGCCCTATTGCGAGCGATCGCTTCCCACGCACGAATCTTGCACATTCGGAAATCATTTCGACGTCAATCGTCCCTGCTGCGTGGTAGGCGATCGCTTGCGATTGGCCGTCGCACATTTGATGGTGCCCTCTGGTTTCTGTACCGAGCCACTGAAACGCAGGCGTGTTGCGATTTCTGATCCCATTTTCAGTAGAGAAACGGGATGCACGTCAATCTCGTCTCGGGTGTTCTAGTATGCTTATAGCTCGTTGATTAAGTTTTAGCTATATGGAAAATCTCAGAAACCATCTTGGTACCCTTTTAAGTATTCGGTAGATGCCCCGGGGCACCTCCAGCACAAGCTTTCTGCCTGTGATTATGCTTTGTCGCATGGGGAGCCAAAGCCCGGCAGAGGGCAACGAGCATGTGCTCAAAGCAGAGCTTCGGCCTTATTCTTAGCCTGTCACTAACCATAAAAAAAAACATAGAAAAACAATGCATTGTTTTCTTGAAAACGGGTACCGTTAAATACCGGGCAAGTGGCCACTCAAGATTTATTGATAATTGCGAAAAAAATGGGGGATGGGTGCTTGTTTGGTCATCACTTTTGCATATCAATGTACTGTGTATATTTTCTCAGATCTTGCGAATTTGGGAATGGGCGCTTTGTGTGGAATAGGCGGATGTGCAGTGTTTTACAGTGAGCAAAAGTTACATCCCATTTTGGGAGTAGAAAGGTTGAAAAGGAGGAGGGTTCTGATAAGGGAGGCATACAGTTGAAACTCGATTTTATGAAACTCGATTCTACAAAATTCTTGATTTAACAAACAAATTATAATTCCATTACTGATGCCTATTGAGAAAAAGATCACAGTCACGCCTCTAGTGGTACGCTTCAGCTGTGGGGACAACAAACTGTGTTTTCTTGTTTGTTTGTGGTCTAAGAAGTCTAAGATGACAATTCGAAGGCTGCTCCTCGTGCGACTAAAGCACTGGTCAAAGCAAAGCGCTCGTGCCCACCGTGCTAAGCAAGCTTCAATTTCTTTGTTATGTTGTATTAGTAAACTCTGGACTGCGGGGACAACAAGCTCAATAAAGTGCCCTCTATAGTTCAATCTCCTTCCCATTAGGGCTCCATGCATTTATACACATAAAATAAATTTGGATGTCAGCATTCCTAAAAAAGAATTAATGCAAAAAGAGGTACATAATTTCAAGCTAATTTTGTTTAGAATGCCTCGAAGTTTCTTGCTGGCATGCTGGCCACAAGATTGCGTGACCCTACTTTTGTTTTTATGGGAAAACAAACTCGCCAATTTGGGCTTTTAGTGAATTATGTCAGACGGCATTGACTGTTTCAAGGTGTTTGATTCTTGTCGCGCATGCGACAGATGGCACCGATGGGATTCGCCAGTTCGGTGATGGTCAACCCCCCGTTTAGGGTAACTCTGGGCCCTGCGGATCTGAGTGGCAGGGCATCGCCAAGACAAGAATGGCAGCTATTAGTGATTTTTGCGTCGCCGTGATATGAAGCCTCATATTTGAAAGTCCCTGCCTCGAAAAAAACGTGGGAATTATTTGTGCTTGGATCGAAAAAGGGGCTTTTTTGCATCTCTGGTGGGATATCCGACTTCAATTTGGCTCCGACTGGTTCTCACGGAGTGCCGATAAAGGGGCAGAACTTTTGGTGTCAGATATGTAACCTTAATTTGTTTCCTTTATGCACTAGTGCTGCGGGTCGTCTTCACGGATTAAATTTTCAAATCACGATTTCGGTGCAAAAATCACATTTTCGGTGCTTGAACACTGCGGAAATGTGGTATCGAAGTAGTTCTCTGGATGCCGTTACATGAAACCCAGGTTTATCGAAATAATGCCCGAAAAATGGCATTTTTTGATATAACGGAAGTTCCCAATTTAACAATGTAATTCGCTGCTCCCTTCAGCTTTGTTTGATTGCGTTTTAACTGTATATAGAACAATAGGGTAAGGTCAAGGTTGAAACGGGGGCTCGATGGGGGCAATCTAAATCAAAACCATGCCACTCTTCTTCATGGCCGAAGATGTCCCATGAGGCAACACGTGCAGTGCTGTGTGCAGGAATTTTTTAAAGTAGCCTATTCCGAATATAATGAAAAATGGGTTTTAAAGTGTGTAGATGCAGAAAAAAAATCTCTCATCACATTTGTGCAAATACGGTATAATCTGAAACATTTTGATTTGAATAAATTAATTCTGAATACTAAATTGAGTTATTTATGCAAAGATGTGAACTCTAGGAAAAAAATATGTAACAACATGTTGTAAACAAACCGGTGCCAGCACGCTCTTTCCCTACGAAAAAAAAAATATGCCATTGCATTGTATGGTGACGGTGCTTTGCAGTCTGAAATTATGCTTGTTTCTTTTTTCTTTGCAAAGCAAAGGTAGGGGCTAAACTTTTCAAGGCTCTCTAAATGCTGAAAATTCATTTTGTAAGCAAACAAAGAAAAATGCATGAAACTGTACGAGTTCATTCTAGATGCTACCCGTTTGGTTGATTCTAAATATACCACAAAATCTAGCACAAACGTCCTCACCCGAAGGATGGCTCGACACCCCTCTTTTGTTTGGATACCTGTGTCGGCAGGCGGCGATATCGCGGCCGACCAGGTAAAAAAGATGGTTCACGAGCCTTTGACTGTTTTTAAAGGAATCCGCTTGTCAAAACTATAGTCAGTGACAGGTCAAGAGATTGGTGGCAGGTGCCCCTCAAAGGGATTCATATTACTCCACCAACCAATCGCTTCCACTCCTTTTGCGATGTCACTAGCGTTGGATCCTTACAGACTTCTTCTGGCACAGCAGCACCTGCTGCCGGCAACAAACAGGTGCCGCAAACGTCAATTTTTTGCGTCAATTTTAAACATTTTTACCTACTCCGGTTAGCCTTAGTTGTGCCGGTATTCATTTTGGTACGTGGGTAGTTTCTTTCTGTACAATGTTTTGAAAATCCAGCTATCGTGTCGCCATCTAAGCGTCAAACGTGCGCACTCGCTCTGGCTATTAAGCTTAGATGCCATAGAGGCCGTTCGCCTAACTGCTTCCGCTTCCCTTTGTTCGAAAGCTAATTTTCATTAGCTCTCGCTTTAAGTTGCGTCACGAAATCACGGCAGTGTCTGCTTGTGTGGGTTGTGCGATAAGCAGTGCTGGTTTCCAGTTAGAGCAACTGAAAGCCACTCAGAAAATGTCAAGGACACTATCTTCAGAAATATATGGTACTTACTTCTTGGTTCTCATTAAGGCTCACAAAGTTTCAAGTTTTCGCATCTGTTACACTGTTATCCCATCTACCTAAGGTTCCTAACCACTCATGTTCATCTGTGCTGCTAAGCACAATTGAAATTGCTTCCATGCTTGTCTAAGACACAACCTGAAGTGCAGTGAAAACTGGTCTGGGCTGCTCCTAGCCTGCTCCAGAATGTAGTTTTAGCTGCTCCCAATCTGCTCCAAAACAGCTGTTTCAGCTGCTCCCATGGCTGCTCCCATGTACATTTCATGAGTTCCACCCCTGAGGTAGCGAAAGTGACGAGAATGGTGACAACTCTGCAAAGAAGTCGGTGTCCGCTGGAACGGCTTTCGCCGCGGCAGAGACCCTCCGAGACTACTTCGCTGGTGCCGAGCGGCTCGGAATTAAACAAAGCCTTTTCCCACACTTCGACGCAATCGAGCAGGCGATCATGGAGGCGTCTCGTACGCGGTACGTGCGGTGTCGAATCTATGGCTATTTTGGGAAGCATTAAATTCGCATGCTAAAGCAGCTGATTTCTCACTTATTTTTCTTTTAGAAGTCCACATATGGCAAAAAATGGATATAGCAAAGTGATTTTAGATTCACGCGGCGTTCGTTATAAGTGGGCTGTACTGTGTAACTTATTTTTACCCTGCCCTTTCTTGTCTTTTGTAGTCAACGACATTCACGTGCTGTTCTCCTCAACAGAGCTGGAGGAGAGGCTGTCTTCCCCAGCAAGGGACAGCTCCGGTTCCGAGGACCATAGCGATGCTTCCCCATTCAAACGGCGCCCCAAGAAACGCCGCAGCAACGGTCGTGCAGCAAAGAAAGGCAAGCTGAACAGTGACTGGGGTCACCAATTTGTCAAACTATCCACTGTCCCGTAGGATTCCAGCCGTTGTCTATAGTCTGCGACACGTTGAAGGGGCACTAAGGTGGCTTTTGAGATAGTCAGTTTACGGTTGGAACCCAGTCTACGGGCTCTAAGCATTCTAAAAAAAAAACCAAGATTACACCGATAAGCATCGGACTCCTCTATCAAAAACGAGATAAAAAATAGCGACACTCCTATTTTTTTTGCGATTCGGTGCAGAAACCAGAGGGCGCTATCGGACGTGCAATGCCCAATTGCGAGCGATCGCTTCCCGCGCACGAATCTTGCACATTCGGAAATCATTTCGACGTCAATCGCTCCCCCTGCTGCATGGTAAGCGATCGCTTGCGATTGGCCGTCGCACATTCGAGCGCCCTCTGGTTTCTGTGCCGAGCCGCTGAAACGGGGGCGTGTTGCGATTTCTGATCCCATTTTCAATAGAGAAACGGGATGCACGTCAATCTTGTCTCGGGTGTTCCAGTATGCTTATAGCTCGTTGATTAAGTTTTAGCTATATAAACTATCTCAGAAACCATCTTGGTACCCTTTTAAGTCTTCAGTAGATGCACGGGGCGCCTCCAGCACAAGCTTTCTGCCTGTGATTAGGCTTCGTCGCATGGGGAGCCAAAGCCCGGCAGAGGGCAACGAGCATGTGCTCAAAGCAGAGCTTCGGCCTTATTCTTAGCCTGTCACTGTCTATAAAAAAACATAGAAAAACAATGCATTGTTTTCTTGAAAACAGGTACCGTTAAATACCGGGCAAGTACCCACTCAAGATTTAGAGATAATTGCGAAAAAAATGGGGGATGGGTGCTTGTTTGGTCATCAATTTTGCATATCAATGTACTGTGTATATTTTCTCAGATCTTGCGAATTTGGGAATGGGCGCTTATTGTGGAATAGGCGGATGTGCAGTGTTCTTCAGTAAGCAAAAGTTACATCCCATTTTGGTAGTAGAAAGGTTGAAAAGGAAGAGGGTTCTGATAAGGGAGGCATACAGTTGAAACTCGATTTTATGAAACTCGATTCTACAAAATTCTTGATTTAACAAACAAATTATAATTCTATTACTGATGCCTATTGAGAAAAAGATCAAACAGTCACGCCTCTAGTGGTACGCTTCAGCTGTGGGGACAGCAAACTTTGTTTTCTTGTTTGTCTGTAGTCTAAGAAGTCTAAGATGACAATTCGAAGGCTGCTCCTCGTGCGACTAAAGCACTGGTCAAAGCAAAGCGCTCATGTCCAGACCGTGCTAAGCAAGCTTCAATTTCTTTGTTATGTTGTATTAGTAAACTCTGGACTGCGGGGACAACAAGCTCAATAAAGTGCCCTCTATAGTTCAATCTCCTTCCCAATAGGGCTCCATGCATTTATACACATAAAATAAATTTGGATGTCAGCATTCCTAAAAAAGAATTAATGCAAAAAGGGGTACATAATTTCAAGCTAATTTTGTTTAGAATGCCTCTAAGTTTCTTGCCGGCATGCTGGCAACAAGATTGCGTGACCCTACTTTTGTTTTTATGGGAAAACAAACTCGCCACTTTGGGCTTTTAGTGAATTATGTCAGGCGGCATTGACTGTTTCAAGGTGTTTGATTCTTGTCGCGCATGCGACAGATGGCACCGATGGGATTCGCTAGTTCGGTAATGGTCAACCCACCGTTTAGGGTAACTCTGGGCCCTGCGGATCTGAGTGCCAGGGCATCGCCAAGACAAGAATGGCAGCTATTAGTGATTTTTGCGTCGCCGTGATATGAAGCCTCATATTTAAAAGTCCCTGCCTCGAAAAAAACGTGGGAATTATTTGTGCTTGGATCGAAAAAGGGGCTTTTTTGCATCTCTGGTGGGATATCCGACTTCAATCTGGCTCCGACTGGTTCTCACGGAGTGCCGATAAAGGGGCAGAACTTTTGGTGTCAGATATGTAACCTTAATTTGTTTCCTTTATGCACTAGTGCTGCGGGTCGTCTTCACGGATTAAATTTTCAAATCACAATTTCGGTGCAAAAATCACATTTTCGGTGCATGAACACTGCGGAAATGTGGTATCGAAGTAGTTCTCTGGATGCCGTTACATGAAACCCAGGTTTATCGAAATAATGCCCGAAAAATGGCAGTTTTGATGTAACGGAAGTTCCCAATTTAACAATGTAATTCGCCGCTCCGTTCAGCTTTGTTTGATTGCGTTTTAACTGTATATAGAACAATAGGGTAAGGTCAAGGTTGAAACGGGGGCTCGATGGGGGCAGTCTAAATCAAAACCATGCCACTCTTCTTCATGGCCGAAGATGTCCCATGAGGCAACACGTGCAGTGCTGTGTGCAGGAATTTTTTAATGTACAGTGTAGACCGCATATAACGTATGTCGCGGGAGTCGCAAAAATCCGCACTATAAGCGGTACCACGTTATAACCGAAACATCAATTTTTCAGGCCAAAATACATGCCATAAGACAACTTACCTTTGTAAAAGAATTTATTTTATGTTAGATGAAAAATAAAGCTTAGTTTGAGGAAAGTCTTTATTTCACCAGACTAGTACACTTCTCTCTCAAGTGTGTCACACATTTTGAAAGAAATGAGCGGCTTTTGCCTGGCGCAGCCTTTTAGCGGCGTCGCGGGTTGCGGACGGACGTTGCGAGCGTTCAGGATTGCTAACCCTAATCACTTTTCTCCGGAGATGAAAACGCGTGAAAGTTCGAATCCTTCATACGGTACGCGCCAGTAATACCTTGAACTTGAGCACACGCATGAAATGCGCCAAATAAGAAATCCGGGCGATGTTTGAGGACACAAATGCTTAGAAATCGCCACTGTAGTCAAAGTAAACAAACACGACGACACGGGCGTTTCTGCCGTCTTGAGAGCGCCGCCACGACATCGCCGCTCGAGTAGGTGGATCTTCCCTTCTAGTACGTGCTGGGTTATCATAGCGACACACAACGAAAATTCAGTCAAGGATAGCGCTTTTACGCGGAACGATGAGATGAACGCCGTCTACGACGACGATCACAACGTTGATCACAACCAGCAGCCAGCATGTATGCAACGCGCGCGAACACTTTTCCTCGACCTGCGATTGGTCTGTCGTTGCGGTTGTTGGTTTCTAACGCAGCGGAGGGACGCACGCACGTGTCGGTCACGTGCGTGCGTCCCTCCGCTGCGTCCCTCCGTCGCTAGGGCAACTGAAACCTCTCTCTTCGCTTCTCCCGCTTCTTCGAGCAACCTCCTTGCCCCGCGAGTGCCGCTTGCGCAACGCTTGCGGCTCTCGTCGTCAGCGCAGTTCGCACAGGCAAGCGTGCTCGCTGCCCCGGTCGTCGGCGCGGTCGGCGGGCTGTGCCAGAAACCGCACTATTAGCCCCGAGAGCGAACACAAGCGTCGCTGCGGTCGCCGCGCCCTGATTGGTTGAGGTGTACCGTGACGCCAGGCGGAGGACTCCGCTCCGCGATCTCGCATCGGCTCGCTTCCCAGCACCGGTTTCCTGGTTTGGTGTTGTGTGCCGCAAGCTCTTTTGAGGAGCTGGACTTCGTTTACCTGATGTACAAGACGTTGAGCTAGGCTGATATTGACGTGCTTCCGTACATTTTAAGCCTGCTTGTCCATTTTACCTTTAAAATTGGGTTACAAATCCCGAAAGTTATCGGCGGAGGCAATTCCGCCGACGAACCTCCCCGTCCGTCCACACGACACAAGACAATCTTACGAGGGGTCGGTGAAACGGTGGCGCAAGTGTTTCAGACGCTGGAATTCTGTTCCTTGCATGTTCACGAATTGGGACGATATTACATCCCGCTTTCAAGGCATTTGAAGTGGCATTGATATCATGGGCCTTTGGGGGGTCGGCAAATTAGCTCGCGACCCCGACTCTGCGCTGCCACTCTGCATGCGCTGGTTCGCAGATGTATTAAAGGCCCTGCGTCTGATGATCTTTGAAGTGCTCGTGGAACAGGGTTGTTTTACATAAATGTATAGCTTCTTCGTGAATTAATTATATAGTTTATACACGTATGCTAGCATATTTCTTAGAAGATGCACAACTACTGGAAATTAGTTCGTAAGGTAGCAGCAAAAACGGCTGAATTGCCCCCAGTTGCCTGTATGATATATATTGAGCTGCCCAAAATATGCACAGCAATAGTGCCGCAATTCCGAATGTTTATACTTTTTCCTGACATTCTTTATTCCAGCCTTGGGTATTCGGAAAATACACCGTTTAGTCTGAATTGTCATTTCCAATTAAAAGAGACACTGCTGCAGGTCCCCAAAAGCTTCCTCAGCCTCCACACTCCCTACAGCTGGACTCTCTGACAACAGAGGAAAACAGGAGTAATAGAAAGCATTCGAACGTCTGTCCAGTGGTAGATGCAGCACTAGTAGCAGAAAATGTGGAACCTGTGAAGGGCGACAGTCTGCGTGAAAAAAGCTTCCGATATTTTAGCTTCAGGACAATTAGATTTAAGTAAAATCTCAATTTTAGGGCTTATGGGACTAATAACGAGCTAGACACCTTCGCTTACGTTTGTTATATATTACTTGAGGGTTGATATAAACAAGTCTACAGATACCATACGTGTAGTCCATTGAAATACTATCGGAATCAAGCAAAGGTCAAATGCGAGCAATGTATACAATAAATGTTCCTTTTTTTTTTTTCTTACTTTGCCCCTGCACTTGGGCTGTCTTATGATTCTCTCCCCATGGCCCAGACTGTATTTAGCATGTTGCTCGAGCAGCATGCAGCTTTTCTGCTTCGGCGATCTTGTTTAAAAACAGAGATACAAGAAAATATAGTATACATAACCTACCAATTCATTCAGACCATGAGCAGCATTTATTGTGCGAGATGTAAATCTATAGTCATCCTGCAATTGTGGCCATATTTCTTTATTTTCATATACCAGCTGTGATTCATGCGTTGCCTGCCCTGTCAACCACTCTTAAAATGTTGGTTGAAGTTTCGCCTGTAGCTACAGGCCATACCTCAATAGCGTCGTCACAGCCTCCACAGGGCGAGCGGGGCGAGTCGGGGAAAAATTCTCTCCTCGCCGTGACGTCACCCCGGTTCGCCGTAAGGGGGCGCCACACAAACTTCTCGGGGCTAATAACCGGTATTTCCCTTCGCGCGCCTGCATTTTAAGCAATATGTAATTACATGGAGTTCTATGGGAGGCGAACTGGTGGTTTAAAAAAACCGCGTTATACCCGGTCCTGCACTATAAGCGGTTATGTTGTAAGTGGTCTATACTGTAGTCTATTCCGAATATAATGAAAAATGGGTTTTAAAGTGTGTAAATGCAGAAAAAAATCTCGCATCACATTTGTGCAAATGCGGTATAATCTGAAACATTTTGATGTGAATAAATTAATTCTGAATACTAAATTGAGTAATTTATGCAAAGATGTGAAGTCTAGGAAAAAAATATGTAACAACATGTTGTAAACAAACCGGTGCCAGCACGCTCTTTCCCTACGGCAGGGGTTCTCAAACTTTTTGGTTTCACTGAACCCCAGGAAGCCTCAAAAACTGCCGCGGAACTCTCCCCCCCCCCCCCCCCCCCCCCCTCCATATTTGCCGACCGAGAAGCAACAGATGTGCAATTGTAAGCAATTTTGCTTGTGTTGCCTCCTTGGCTCCCATATATTCCCACCATATCAATCGCGATGTCAGTACAAAGTGAGATGAAGGCGCTTTGCATGGCCGTGCCGCGCAGCCTGCGGCAGGGGGGGGGGTTGCAGTTTGGGTGTTCGCGGAACCCATGAGACCAGCTCGTGAAACCCCTGTGTTTCCCGGAACCCAGTTTGAGATCCCCTGCCCTACGGAAAAAAATATGCCACTGCATTGTATGGTTATGGTGCTTTGCAGTCTGATATTATGCTTGTTTCTTTTTTCTTTGCGAAGCAAAGGTAGGGCTAAACTTTTCAAGGATCTCTAAATGCTGAAAATTCATTTTATAAGCAAACAAAGAAAAATGCATGAAACTGTACGAGTTCATTCTAGATGCTACCCATTTGGTTTATTCTAAATATACCACAAAATCTAGCACAAACGTCCTCACCCGAAGGATGGCTCGACACCCCTCTTTTGTTTGGATACCTGTTTCGGCAGACGGCGATATCGCGGCCGACCAGGTAAAAAAAGATGGTTCACGAGCCTTTGACTGTTTTGAAAGGATTCCGCTTGTCAAAACTATAGTCAGTGACAGGTCAAGAGATTGGTGGCAGGTGCCCCTCAAAGGGATTCATATTACTCCGCCAACCAATCGCTTCCACTCCTTTTTGCGGCGTCACTAGCGTCGGATCCTTACAGACTTCTTTTGGTACAGCAGCACGTGCTGCTGGCAACAAACAGGTGCTGCAAACGTCAATTTTTTGCTTCAATTTTAAACATTTTTACCTACCCCGGTTAGCCTTAGTTGTGCCTGATTCACTTCGGTACGTGCTTAGCTTTATTTTTTGTACAATGTTTTGAAAATCCAGCTATCGTGTCGCCATCCAAGCGTCAAACATGCGCACTTGCTCTGGCAATTGAGCTTAGATGCCATCGAGGCCGTTCGCCTAACGGCTTCCGCTTCCCTTTGTTCGAAAGCTAACTTTCATTAGCTCTCGCCTTAAGTTGCGTCACGAAATCACGGCAGTGTCTGCTTTTCTTTGCGGTGGTTTCCATGGGGAGATTCGAACACGCCGTGATCGCGACAGGCCGCACGAGACACGTCTGAGCTCGATGTGGTCAATTTTCTCCACTTGACTTTGTCTACGAGTTCATAACCAAAGGCTACCTCGTAATACGACTTCTTCAAGGCGGTAGTTATACGTGCATGAAATGCGGCACACTTGATGGGTCTCGTCTCTTTCAGTCCCATTGTAAACGTCCCACCACATGGAAAGGCGTACCTTCGTGTCAGTTACGGTGCCCTGCACATGTCGACCGGCATGTCTTTACCGCCCACGCATCTAAAGCAGTCCCGAAGCGGCAGTAAATGACGTCGCAAGAGCCGGTCTGTTGGTGCCGCATGTCGCAATCCTAGTCGTCGGTCGCGCGAGTTCCGGCAACAAGCACGAGCGAATGTGAGCGTTGACGTTGTCACGGCGTCCCAACTCCCGGCCGCCGACGATTCCGCGGACCACTGAGCTGCAGATCGACCTGCGGCAGGACTGGCGTCTGCTACGTAAACGACCGTTGTCGCGCAACTGCCAGTATCGGGGCGGGCAACAGCACGAACACTTGTACCATGTCGTAGGGCAGAAATCAAAGCGCCACTTTCGAGAATCCAGTAGACGCACCGGTCAGGAGCTCGTTGCAGACGCTGTACCTACGTCTTGTCAAAGTAGAAAAATCTTCCGAACCTTTTTTTTGTTTCGTGGGGAGTGGTGCGGGCGCCTTTGCTGCTATGCAACGAGGTCATCCCGCTCGACCAGCGGCGAGCTTGGCTTCCTCTACTCCTGTTTGAAGGTGGCTTCCTCGCGTAATCTCTATGAATCGTTATAAAATGTCAATTACATCTGCGCATTCGATAGCCTCAAGTAAAACTGTCACATATCGTAAATATTAACAGCAAGAGAAAACACTTACCCATATTTTTCGCCATCCCGTGTTTGAGCGCCAGACTTTTTGTTCTCTTCGACTATTCGTATATCTTTTTACTAGATGGTGCTGTAGCTTAGATCTTCAAGACTTGCCAGGCTGCTACAGTCGAACCCGGATATATTGAATTCAAAGGAGATTGTAAAATAGTTTTACAATCTCCTTTGAATTCCGGATTCTGGCCGGGACCTTCACACACCATAAGCAAAAAAAAAAAAAAAAAAAAAAAAAAACGAAAAGCGAGGCGCATAAAAAAATCTCTTCATCCATAGAAAAAGTTAAGCAAGAAACAAAAAAGAAAGCTCACTAAATTTAAGCAGCAAAAATGAAAGGCAAAAATACAAAAACAGGCAAAGCAATAATGCCAAAAGAAAAAAGTAAACCAAGATACTAAGGCGTTCAAAGTGTGATTCCACAACCGTTGTAGTCAACACACTTGACGTGCCGAAGCCTTTTTTTTTTTGCTTATTATTTTATTTTGGGGCTAGGGAGTCGCACAGCATCAGCAGTGTTTAGGGAAAAGGTGCAGGTCATCGTTCCTACAGAGAGCACTCCCTGCTCTCCCTACGCACATGCACGCGCCCTTCCACCTGCTTTTGCCATCCTCCACCTTTTTTGTTACGCTTCATTGTGTCTCTTTTTCCACAACTGCTCTTTCTCTGGGTATCTTCCCGCATCTATGCTGGCTTGGCAGTCCGCCAGCCACGAGCCGCAAGCAATGTGCGCGCCACCGAGGCAATCGGGTCGCGGGGAAAGCAACGGGCGGCTGGGCTTCATTTGCTATATTGAATATCCTTGCCATAAGTGTTGGATACAAAAAGACAACGCTCTTATACTATTGCATGTGATTTTCAAGGGGTGTTTGGACTGTTTGATATAAACAATAACTCGAAATACCCGAATGGGATATAACCAGGCTCGACTCCGAGTATTCAAAAGATACTTGATAAAACTGAAACTATTAAATAAAAAAAATTATGTGGTTTGTTGCCTCAAGGCAACACTTGTCAACAAAGGGTTAATGATCTGCAGGACCCCGTCGTGCACGCCGGGTGAGGGGAAGCTACACGATCCTGAAGAAGGTGAACGTCGTGGAGTGGCACCGCCAAAACGGAAACAATGTGAGCAAGACTGCACGCCAGTTCGACATCGACAGGAAACGCATAAGGGACTGGAACGCAAACTACCAGTCGCTCCTGCAGCAGTGCCAAGGAGAGAACAGGGTTAAAAGGTCGATGGGCAAGGGACGCCCCGTGTTCAGTAAAGAGATAGACAATGCGTTGGTGAGCTTCCTGGAGGATGAGAGATTGGCGGGGAGACCCGTCAGCAACCGCCTGCTTCAAGCTCATGCGCGACAGCTGGCGGCAAAGATGGGTCTAGGAGGCTTTCAAGCATCGCACCAGTACCTGACTCGTTGGAAGAGGCGCTTCAACGTGTCGTTGCGGGCGAGGACAAACGAGAACCGGAAGCGGCCCACCAACTGACACCGAAGCGACTGCGACGTTCAGTGAGGCCGTCGGTGCTCTTCGCTCGGAAAATGTTCATCTACATTACAGCGTGGAATGCGTGGACCCAATCGTGGTGTGCGTAGATCGTCCAGCCGCAACATTGGATGATGCTGCCTGAGAGTCCAGCGTTCAGGTTGTCGACGTTGGCTGTGCTCTGCGACGAGTGACGATGGCTCTGTTGCAACGGAAGCAGCGATTTCATCATCTGCAAAGGTCCGGTAAAACGGATTCACCCGAGAGTGCTGTTTGCACTAAGGATTTCAGGTATGTTGGACTTGGCATTTAATGTGAACACAAACATGAGCTAGTAGTAGGTGGGAATAGATAGATGCATAGATATTAAACACTGCACTGCCACATATTGAAAAAAGAAAGGTTTATTGTATTGCCCCTAATTGCCATAGACACACTCTACTCGGTTATGTATCACGGCATTTCCAACAGGAGGCACAGCCGTGCACTTACTACAGTAACCCCTCATTATGACGAAATTGCTTTTTTCGAATTCTCGCATTTATCGAAGTTCAACGCGTGGTTCCGACCAAAATGCACACATTTTTAACCGGATTATTGGAAATGTATTGGTGATAGACCACGCTGAGTACAGAAACCACAATGCCGAAAGTATGCAAGCCTACACGGAATCGCATGGAGACCCTTGCATTCCCTCCCCCTTGTCCACTGAGAAAAATAGCAAACAAGAAAACGGAGTAAATGGGTGACGGAGGGCAGAGTGCCAATGCCGATGCGCCTACGCAGGGACACGGGCAGGGAGCGACGCTGCCTGACTCTTGTCGTAATCTGGTCAAGGGAGCAATGGAGCCTGGACATACGACGGAGGAGGTCATTCCTTTGAATGATCTCCTCCGTTGTATGAGGGATTGGGAGTGTTCACCGAAAGTTGCTTAGATACCTGAGGTTGAGAAAAGTGGCTGGCCCAAGTCGGAAATTGCCAAAGAATTCTACATTCCGGCAATGACTGTTCGACACTGTCCACCATTTTGCAGATCAAGCAGGGCATATTGGATGGGTTCGAAAAGTTCCTTGTGCAAGAGAGAGCGTGCTCGCGACCCGAAGACAAAAGATCGCCAGGTGTTTTGCACACGTCGGATTTTTTCTCGCGAGCATGCTTGCCGAGCCGGTGCACGATTCCCAAAGTTAAAACGATCTTTGCAGGAGTGTGTGCAAACATGTTGGCAAAGTCACTAAAAATAACTTTGATTCGTTCACGCTTGTCGATGCGGACGTTTTTGTTGTTGCTTCTGCCACGGGTGCTGCAATCTTAGATATTGCGTGCGGCCAGGGTAAACACCAAGCGACGTCGGAGAGGCACGTAGGGAAATGCTGACGACTGCGGAGACGGGGAACGTCTTACGGCTGGTTGGAAACAAAGTGGAGTGCAGTGGCGGTGTCAGTGTTCCTGCGATGGCTAGAGCACTTTGAGAACTGGTGCTTGGATCAAAGTATCGGCAAACTCCACTTAATTACACTTTTACTCGTTAAACCTGCCGTGAGATGTTCATAAACATGGTTTGTTTGATTGAATATACGGTTAGTGTTGTGCAGTGTTCCCGTCCACCTTCAAGACTGCTGGCGCTGTTTTTTTTTGTTTTTTTTGGCTTTATCACTTTTATGGAGTTACCACTTACAGTCGAACCTGGAAATATCAAATTCAAAGGGGATTGCAAAATAGTTCGATATATCGATAATTTTATGTACAAAAATATGTTAACTTATGCTCCAGTTGAAATTTCCGCACGTCTCTGCTAGTACCGAAGGCGCGACACACGGGACCTTACTCAATAGATACTAAGAGCCGCTAAATACAGTAGAGCTTAGTTGGTGGAGATCACAAACACCGCCGCAGCGAAAGCAAGCAGCAAAATAGGAACCTCACTAAATTCAGGCAGCAAAAAAAAAGAGAGGAAAAAAAAATGGATAAAGCGATAAGGCGAAAGGAAAAGGTAAACAAAGATAAGGCATTCATAGTGCAATTGCTCAACCGTTGTTGACACACTCGACATGACAAAGACTTCTTTTTCTCGATTATTTTATTTTGAAACTAAAAAGACGCGCAGCGATAGCAGTGTTTGGGGATAGAGCGCACATTACCGTTCCAACTGTGGGCACCACCTGCCCTCTCTACGCGCGCGCGTGCCCTTCCCCTTGCTTTTGCCATCCTCCATCTTCCTCACCTAGTCGCTTCAAAACGCCCTTTCGCAAAGGCACGTTTGGGCATCAGGCGCGAGAGGTTACGATAATTGTCTACTTTCAAATTTGGCAGGAGACTGGCCGCGTCGTATTGCAAATGTGTTGTAAACAAGATAAGCGTTCGGGCCACTACGATTCACTGATACGCGGCGATCACATTGAACGCCGAGGAGCTGGTGGAAAGGACTGCACCTCGAGCCTTGGTATAGCCAAACAATACAAAGAAACATCAACGGCCGGGTCATCGGGCACCTTGCAACGTGTACTTACATCTCAAAACTATGCCAAACAGGTGGAAAGTGGACACAGACGTCAGCGGCCAGCCTATGTACTGATATCCCCTGTGACTAAATTTCAGAACGTGAAAGGGTACTTTTTAAAACTGTAGCAGACGATACCGTTGATACACCTGTAGCAGACAAAATACTCGGCGAGCGCAGGTGGCACAAACGACCATCGGAGCAGCGGAGTGATGCAAAAATGCAAGCGAGATCGCGTGACTAATTGCCAACGTGTGATTAACTCGGGCCACGCGCAACTTTGGCTGCTTTCGGACGGAAGCTGAAACGGAGTATAGATGTCCATCAATTGGTTCTCGAGGACAGATAGCTATTGAAGTATTCCACCTGACAAAAAAACATTTCGGTGGAAGTCTAGTATAAGCAGCCACGAAAGGTTTCACCATTGCGAAGAGCCATACAAGGGTAGAACTTGTGATTAGATATTCATGCAAGGACGACACCTACTAAATGCTCGCCAGGTTACTTACCAAATGCGGTTCAAATGCCTTGTCTGCCCAGAAGCATTCTGTATCAGATGTCGTTTGAGGGTTCATGAAGTGATCCATAGTAATCGAAAGAACCAGCACCCGACAGCTCGCCAGGCAATACAGTCTGAAGAGATGCTTCTCCAACAGCCCTCCTACCCAGAAGCTTCTTGGTGAGAGTCTTGTGTGCTCGGCAAAGCATTCAGAGTAATAAGGGTCCCCATGTACGTAAACACTGTGCATTACTTTCATTCCTCTCTCTGGTATGTAGTGTTTGTTTCTGAGTTTTCGCAATCAACAGTTCATAAAGCTGCTAACTTTGTTGCAACAGCAGGAGAGAATTGGATCTTGGGGTTGAATCGCTGGAATGTCATTTGTTTAAAAAATAAACCAGTGAAACTTGCAAGATTTCTTTTGTTCGCAGTGACTGCGTAGCACCTTCCCGTATCTCTGAAAAACCCATTTCTGTTTTATTTACTAATATAAGAAGCCTCATGCGCAAGCGCGATGAATTACAAAGTTTTATTGATTCCACCAGTGCTGATATGATTGTTATCACGAAAACATGGCCACATGATTCTATTGATGACAGAGAGCTTTTTGACTGCGTTCCATCTTTTAACATTTATCGTTGCAATAGGATTGGTCGGCGCGGAGGAGGCGTTTTGATAGGAATCAGAAAGACCATCACATCTGCTTTAGTTAACATAGCCACTAACCTCGAATTGCTTTTTATATGTATAAATACCAAAGAGTCGCGCCATCTTGTCGGAGTGTGCTACCGCTTGCCGAATTGCGATGCCTCTTTTGTTGATGCACTGAATGATGCGCTTGCCGGGCTCTTTGCCAGTTATCCCAATGCATCCATCACACTTTTCGGTGACTTTAATTTTCCTACCATTGACTGGACTAATCCTCCTCTGCTACAAAGATCAGAACTGGGACGGTTTTTTGAGTTGTGCCTTGAATTTAATCTTACCCAACTCATTAAAAGTCCTACCAGAATTACCACAGATTGTAGCGCTATTTTAGACCTTCTTTTGACTACCCTCCCCGAGGTGTTTTCAGATATATCATGCCTCGATGGCCTAAGCGACCATAAGCTTTTTCACCTTCATGCCATGTTCCCAGTGCCTACTAATGTCACTTCACAAAAATTTATCAGAAATTACGCAAAGGGTAACTATGATGCAATTAATGCTAATCTGACAGTGTTCGCTCAAGATTTTCTTTTTGATTTTTCTTCTCGTACTGTGGAACACGACTGGCTACCGTTTAAAAATACAATGCTTGACCTAGTTGAAAAATTTGTTCCCGTCATCAGTATAAAAACTAATCATTCTGCGCCCTGGTTTAACCGGGACCTGAAGCTAATACTAAATAAAAAAAAGCGTCGCTTCAGGAAAGCCAAGCGAAGCCGCTCCGATTCTGACTGGGCGAGTTATAAGGAGTACCATCGTTTGTACAAGGGGAAGAGTCGGAAAGCCCGTAGAAAATATTTTACTCAAGATTTGCCGTCACTTCTCTTGAATAACCCAAGAAAATTTTGGGAGGTGGTTAATCCAAAAGCTAATGCCGCACTTCACTTAACTGATAACGGAAACATTGTATCTGAGGAAGGGTGTGCTTCGCTGTTGAATATGACTTTTGGTGCCGTGTTTACTCAGGAACCACTGGGGGCAATCCCTTCCTTTCCTTCGTATTTAAGCAATAACATGCCTAACGTAAACATTACACCAGACGGTGTTCTTAACCTTATTAACAGCTCTAAACTTTCTACATCCGCTGGTGAAGACGGCATTAGCTCGAAATTACTGAAGTGTACTAGGGACATTAGCTGTGTCTTACTATCCGAAATATTTTCCCAGTCATTGCTAGAGGCTGCCCAATGATTGGAAAATCGGGCGGGTCGTTCCTGTCTTCAAAGATGGTGATAAATTATCTGCTAATGACTACGGGCCAATATCTATAACCAGTGTTTCATGTAAATTACTTGAACATGTAATCTATACTAACCTCGTTACTTTTCTTTAGAACAATCATTTCTTTTCACCTCATGAACATGGTGTTAGAAAAGGACTGTCTTGTGAGACACAGCTAGCTGGTTTCTTACATCATATTCACACTAATTTGGACAGCAATGAGGTTACTGATGCTATTTTTCTCGACTTTTCTAAGGCATTTGATCGCGTTCCTCATCAGCGTTTGCTCTCAAAATTATCTGCACTAAATATTGACCCGCATGTATTCAAATGGATTAAAGACTTTTTATATAACAGGACCCAGTACACTATCGCTAACAACCGTCATTCTGACCCTGTTCCCATCACCTCCGGTATCCCTCAGGGTAGTGTGCTGGGCCCGCTTCTTTTTTTCTATCTGTATTAACGATTTGCCTAACTCCTTGACCTTACAAATTCGTCTTTTTCTTAGAGCGCAGCTCTTAGGCGCCCGTTTCCGGCTTGAGCGCCGTCGCCGTAACCGTGAGGTCACGTGACCCCAGTGACAACGCATGACCTCCGTGAGGTCACATGACCTCACGGTTACTCCGACGCCGGCGACGCTTGGATGGAGGAGTAGCAGGCAGGGTGAGGAGGTGAGGTGGGAGGAGGGGTATACGCTCCCCTCCCTTCCCTCCTCCTCCTCAAGAGCTCCGCTCTAATTCGGTGTTACAGAAAATTGTAAGCAACATTCTTTTTTTTAAGATTGTTTAGCGGTTAAAGGGGTCATGAAACGCTTATCCAACTTTTTCCTGTTTAGCTTTCCTCCTCAACTCATAAATCGCGCATTCCACCAAACAGTTAAAGAAGACGAAAAGGGGGAATCCCCTCTTGCTCGCACTCTCGTTTGCGTAATCCGGACACATCCATTCTCCCCCTAGAAGATTAGCCCGTCGCTCAAAATTCAGACAAAAGTTGCTTTACCCACCCCGTTCATTCCGAAGCTGACAGTGCTGTTGAAGCCACGTGCTCGTTGGGCCAGCCACACTTGCCACGAGAGCGTGGCAAATGTGGCTGCAGAAAATGAAGTCAGGTGATGAAAGGGAGGCGGTTGATTGGTCCGGCAAGCGCGTAGCTTCCACCACAATGTCAGCTTAGGGGTGAAGGGAATAAGCGAGGTCCGGTTGCGTCTGACGTCAGTTTGGACCCGATGACACGCTTTTGGGACCGCGGATGTATCACAGTGAAAAGGCAGACAGGTTGCGAAGGGGAGGAGGTACGAAATAGTCCGTTCTGTTTTCAAATTTTCGCACTGAAAGTCAGGCTTTTGACTTTCTACCTTTTATTTTTTGGTCCACTGAACGATGTGCTATTAGTAAAATCCCAATCTAAAATGATTTATGCCAACCCAAAAATCGTTTCATGGGCCCTTTAAGGATCGATTGACCTCCACATTTTGTGCCATTGTAGCCTTTGAGGAGCTACTGCTTTAATAAATAACTCAGCATTCCCAAACTTTTTTTTCTTTCTTGCGAGCAGTGCCACTCGAGAGCAAATGGTGGGACAATCAGAACCACGTCAATGTCAAAGACGGCAACATGGCAGCACTCCAAGCATCGGCCACAGCAAAGAGACGTGCACCAGTGTCGCTTCCGCCCTTATGCCAGTCGTCGTGTACAGCATTTCATCGCCCACGAAAGAACGCACACGTGAAAGAGGCCATTCAACTGTTGTGTCTCCCGGAGAGCGTTTTCCCAGGATGCCACCTTGCAGGTTCACATGAGGACTCACACGGGCGAATAGCCGTTTCGGTGCAACGTCTGTCACAAGGTATTTGCACAAAGTTCTCACTTGCTGTCTCACAGGAGGGCTCATACGGGTGAAAGACCATACAAGTGCAGCACGTGTGGGAGGCATTTGCACGTACTTCCAGCCTGTTGGATCATGACAGCATGCACAAACGTAAGAGGCCGTACAAGTGTGTGGTTTGTGAAAAGACATTTGCGAGGAAGTGCCATCTGAACGAACATCACAAGGGTGGGTGAAGGATTTGTGTTCCGTGATACCTGTGGATAATTTATTTTGTTTTAAAGACTTGCCTAATGTTTTATTGCATTTCCAATACTTGTTTACCTAAGAAATGTGAAGTGGGAAAGCAAATCTACTGTGTTGAGTATCATCACTTGTGTACATACCAGCTCTTGCAATTGCCTCTCCATGTATTACTGCAGTGCCTTGCTCTGTCATTATTGTTTATTGGCCAGGACCCTACATGGCGTAGCGGCTTGTGAATCTTTTTTTGATTGCAGATATGTCAGCCTCCCTGGCAAGTTTATTTTAGCTCTTCGTAATTGGTGATGGAAGCAGCATTTGACATTTTGTAGCAGGTTCTGTAGCAGGAAAAATATTGGTTTGGAGCAGATGCCAACATCTGTTAGTATATCACTTTAAAAATGAAAAAGTGATTGCATAGCTAAACAAATTCATCATTGATAATGATAGAAGGTTCCTTTGTTATACTGGAGTGCATTATTTCTTACCTTTTGTAATAAGAATGGATAGGATGCAGAAAGAACACAGCCTTTTTTATTTTTTGAAATAAGTCTCTGGTGAGAATAGGTTTAATTTACAATGGTGTTTTATGAAGATTCGTCACAGCTGTAGTAATGGGGCGTCGTCAAGAAGCTCCTTTTGCTGTTTTAGCCGTTTGTGTGTAAAATCTGAACCCCAAACTAGAATTTACAACAATACCACAGCCCAAACAATGTGCAACCAAAGCCAACTGCCTGTACCGATAACAACTTCTGGTTAGACTGAGTTTTGTGCATGTCTCAATAAGTAAAAAATGGGCAACATGTCAAAAGGTGACGTACCACAGATGGACATTTCTTTCTAGACCACATGACTGCAGAAAAAAATTTGCCGCTTCTCTTCGTCTTCTTGCAAAAGTCACGTGGTCCTACCCGACAGCCCATTGGAACCTGTTCATACAGGCAATTGAGAGGATGGCACCAATGGTCTCATGCTGTGCTTCATGTCTCGCTTCAAACGTGTTGTGAACAGACACGCCGCAATATGACGGGAGCTTATTGCGGCGAAGGTACCGTGTAACTAGGGCCTCTTGTGCACGTCAAAAAATCCGCGGTCTTTTCCTTCTGCATTGCAGATGTATTCATTAGTTGGAATGCAAACTTCCAAAATTTAATTCTTTGTTGTTTCTGGGTTCCCTGGCCAGTGTATATTGCTCAACGCTGATGTAAACTGCCTTTTCACAAATGTTCGTCAGCGACTATGGCGGACCTGCAGAACAGAGATAAAAGACAGAGCGAACTACGGCGTATACCGAACTTCGTGCAGACATTGCCCTTTCGAGGCACACAAACAACGACCCAAACCAGTAGCAATTCTCGGCCCTTGCCGTGGCAGA